CGCAGTATTGAAAAAGATTTTTTTTTGTGTTTATTTCTAACTATTTACATTTAGCTGATATTTGAAAACAATCAAAGTATAAATAGTTAATAGTTAATACAAATAAAGTAAGAATGTTTATCAAGGCCAGTGCGAAGGGGGAGGGGGGGAGTGTATATGTGTGTGAGGGGGTGTGAGGTGAGAAAGGGGTTGGGTGTCACACCCCTCTCCCTCCTCCCCCCTCCCGCGACACACAAAAAACATTAAAGCAAGAGATAGTACCTACATGGTACAGGGATTTGGTTTGGCAAGAAGGGAGATTTTATTAGTATGGCTATATTTATATATATGAATAAAAATTAGGGGTGCACCGAAGCATCTGCCTCGGCATCAGTCATGGCAAATATCAGCCGGTGCCGATTGTTTAAAAAAATCAGTTTTTTTAATTATGTGTTTCTATATTGTATAAAAAAATATAATAATTATACTTTTTTATACAATATAGAAACACAAAATTAAAAAGACTCATTTTTGAAAACAATCAGCATCGGCCGATGATTACCAAGGCCAATTAAAAAATTAATTTTTTAATTGGCCTTGGTAATCATCGGCCGATGCCAATTAAAAAAAAAAATTAAATCCACCCTTTAATTAAGACTATAATATGCCAATTGTTTAAAAAAATTAAAAAATCTAATTTTTTTAAACAATTGGCATCGGCCGATGGTTACCAAGACCGATACCAACCCCGATGCATCAGTGCACCCCTAATAAAAATATATAGGTGTGTATATAAATATATATATGTGTGTATATATATATATATGTGTGTGTGTATATCTCTCTCTCTCTATATATATATGTATATATATATATATATATATATATATATATATATATATGTTTTTAAATTGTTAAAAATTTAAGTAATATTTTGGTTAGTATAATAAAAGCCATTGTCAAACTAAAAATCTTTAATAAAGTTTGTCATACAAAGGGGTTTATTAGGGGTTAATTAGTCTTAATTAAAGGGTGGTTTTAATTTTTTTTTTTAATATTTTCTTTAATTAAAAAAAAAAAAAATCAATGTAAAATGAATGACCACACAGAAGTTTTAACAGTTCCAAGCATTTTATGATCAATTATTTTTTACATAAAAAAAAAACCAAGTTTGCCATGCAGTCATTTTCAAACAATTTGGACTCATTCTCTAGAGACAGAGAATGAGTCCAAATTGTTTGAAAAGACAGAGACCTCTCTAGAGACCTCATTGCTGAACAACAAGATGAGTTGAACAACAAGATGTTTCTAGAGAGTAAGAGTTGCAAGAAAATTGTATCAAGTGGGTGGGAACGGTATTTCATTTCTTTAAAATTTTTCTTGCTGTTGACGCATACTTTGCTTATGATAAGATGGTTAACAGCAACTCCATCAGACATAGTGTTTGAAATTTTTTATTAATTAAATTGTAAGCTTCGTTATAGCTGCACAGTGGGCCAAACAGTGGACATAGCTCAAAAATCAATGTTACTAAAATAAATTTAAGTTATTGAAAGCCAAATAAATTTCATTAAAAAAAATTAATTTAAAAGCATGATTTGTTCAGGAAATATACAAGTTTGAACAACAAAAATTTGTTGTAAAAAATATGTAATAGGTATAAATGATACATAAAAGTCATTTTTGGCATTATATAAGAAAAAATGTCACTATATAAGCAGTGCTAATGTAATAATTGTATGTAGAAACAATCTTAGACTGCAGTTTATGTAAATGTAAATGTTAACATCATAGATTATAGCACAAAATTTTTTTTTACATGTTATACCTTATAAAAACAACTAAAATTTAGCAAAATTTTAGTGTTTTTTATCAGAAAAAATAATTTATCTCAAAAAGTGATAAGTTGGCACTAGAAAACCCATATATTTTTAAACTCCTCTAACAAAGAGGAGTAAGATGCTTTTAAACTAAATTGTGCCAACTTAGTACTTTAAAAAAAATAAGTAAAAGAATTACCCTACCTCTATAGTTTAACTTTTCGTAAAATATATTAAAAAATATTAATGCAAATAGTTTTACATTATTTTGTACATATTTTTATAAGAAGAAGATGCATTCAGTATAAGTTTATATCTAGAAATTAAAAAAAGGATTAAGACCAATATTTGACCAACACCTACACCCCTCCCCCCTCCCTAGTTCTCTTTTCTATTTAACTTTTTTTTTGACCAAATTTAATCTAGTTAGTACAACCATTAACAAAATAAAATAACGCAGCATTGAAATCTGTTTTAAAATGAATAAATTGCAAGAGTTAAAATCAAAACTGAGGACTTTGTGATGTATATAGTAATAATATAATATTTTTACTTTTCACATAAACTTGTTTATTTTTTGAATTATATTATTTTAAGTTTAAATTCTTTTGTTTAAATAGTTATTAGACAAATAAATCAACAAAAATATTTATATTTTTAGTTTAATAACAATGAAGCTCAATGAATTTGAATTATTTAAAATTTTCAATGCTGAAGAAAATAAACAACTAAAAACTATTTCTGCAAATGCAATCTGAAGTAACACATATTATTATGAATTATCTTGAACTTTATTATTGTTTTTACTTCAGCCTATTTCAGGCTATTAAACTGATGATGCAAAGGATATTGGAGAACATTTTTTAAGATATAAACATTGAAAATATACAAATGAAAATAAAGTTTGGATTTGATGGTAGTGGAAGCCATGCAATATTAAATTCAAAAGATAATATAACACTAGCAACATCATACTGACAATATTTAATTAAAAAGATAATGCTAACACTAGCAATATCATACTGACAATATTTAATTAAAAAGATAATGTTAATACTAGCAATATCATACTGACAATATTTAATTAAAAAGATATTGTTAACACTAGCAATATCATACTGACAATATTTTGTCAGTATGATGTTGCTAATAAAGGTTTCTTTATGTATAAAAAAATTAAGGTTTCTTTATGTATAAAGAGGGAAAATAACTTAATGTAAATGTGATAGTGCGGTCAAATATGATGGGTATGAAAACAGCAGATCTTTTTTCAGAAGTTGGAGGTGCATATTGTGGTCATGTGCACATGCTCAAAAAATCAATATTTGAATATTGAAAGAATTGAAAATGGTTTTGTAATCATTCATGAAACTATAACTATGAATGAAATATTTAACCAACTTGAACAGGAACGTTTCTTTACTAAGAACAGGAACGTTTCTTTACTATTTAACCAACTTGAACAGGACGTTTCTTTACTTAAAAAAACCCTATTATATCACAAGGGCTAGACAAACCATCAAACTAATTCCAATCTGTGATGTAAAGCCAATAAAAGTAAATTGGTATCTTGTATTTGTGATCATATTGTTCTATGTTTTTAATATGTAAACCTACTTGATATTAAAAATTATTACATTTAGAAGTTACCAATATTTTTATAGGTTCTTCATGCTTTACTGGGTATATTTGACCATTTCGTGAAAACTGTTGTACATGTGAAAGCTGGTGTTTTTGATTGGTCTGAGTCCCCTTTCAGTGCTTTAAATGGCTTTCTGAAACAAGCAGAGACTTCTATACAAACAGATATTAAAAAAACAGGTATAAAATGGGTCTGCCTTAATGAAGTTGGAAAAAGAGGAACAACAAATTACATAGCTAGAGAACTATTGCACAAAAAATCAAACAGGGATTTAATTATTGCACAATTGCCTGTTTAACATCATGCAACATTTCAAAAGTTCGAATTTATGCTCTCAGTAATTCCTTGAGTATTTTCCTCAAAAAGAAAAATTTATGTGGATCAATTATATTTGTATATTTCTATTGTTCAGATTTTTATTTATTTCTATTTAACGAGTTTTAACACTTTTTTTAACACCTTTTACAAAAATGAATTAGAATAACCTTTAACAAAAACCTTTTACAAAAATGAATTAGAATTTAGAATAACGAGGAAAGTGGTTCGGGAAATCTTTATGATTCAGGGTTAAAAAGTAATAACAAATATTAAGATTGATACATACTAGACTTTCAAGAAAATTTTTCGCTTTCAAAAAACTCCTAAATTGTCAATTTAACATATACCATTAACTGAATGTGGATATCATCTAATCAAAAATTTTTTGACAAGAGATGCAAAATCAAAATCATTTTGCAAATTTTGGTATGAATGAGGACATTCTGATAAATATTCTTATAAATAAAATGTCTCTAATAACATTTTATCTGAAAATGACGCATATTTAAAATGTTAACATATGTATAAATTATGTATTTTAGTACTTCTTTTAATAATTTTTATTATTTTTGCCGTTGATGTACCTACGTTATCTTTGTATTACAAAGTATACATACATATTTATAAATATTTATAAGTATTTTTGCTATAACCTATAAAAAAGCAAATTTTATGAATTTTTCAATATTTTGTTCTTTTAAATTTTGACCTAAATATCCTGCAGCAAAATTATTTTTTAGTTTTTCCAAAATTTACACATAAAAACTTTTCTAAAAGTCTTTAATCAACCCCATAGCACTTTTCGTTCAAAAGTTATGAACCAATGTCCATAAAAACAGCTGTTTAGCCCACTGCGAGCTGCAGAAGTGAAAATCAGAATAAATACCATTATCAATGGGATTAGATAAAAAGCATTGACTAGGTATTTTGCTTTAGACACCAAATAAACACTGTTAATAAGAACAATTTCTTGTGATATAATATCAAACTCAAGAGATATAATATAAGATATAATAAGATATAATATCAAACTCAAGAATAAATTTCTAAGTTGATAAGTAGTATAAAAAATATTTTTCATTATTTAAGGTATACGTGGTATACATAAAAGTTTAGATGATGGCCAAACATTGGACATTCAGACATATACACTGATATAATACTATTATATTGATGTATATTTATGTATGTGCGTGTTTATATAAATATTTATTTACATTGCAAAAGTAATTTTATTTTAGCTACCTGGAATGATATTACTTCTGGAGTAAAAAAACATCTTGAAAGAAACGGTCTGAAGGTGTCATACAATGAAGATTATTCAACTGAAAACCCAACACCTCAAGATATAAGGCTGACCCTTTCTAATGCAGTAAAGAAATCTCATGGTAATTAACAATTTTTTTAAACTTGTTTTATTTATATTTAGAAATCTTCCCAACTTGCTAAATATTTTACTTGATTATATATATATATATATATATATATATATATATATATATATATATATATATATATATATATATATATATATATATATATATACATATATATATATATATATATATATATATATATGTATATATATATATATATTTATATATATATATATATAATATATATATATATATATATATATAATATATATATATATATATATATATATATATATATATATATATATAAATATATATATATATATATACATATATATATATATATATATATATATATATATATATATATAAATATATATATATATATATATATATATACATATATATATATATATATATATATATATATATATATATATATATATATATATTATATATATTATATATATTATTATATATATATATGTATTTATATATATATATATATTTATATATATATATATATATATATATATTTATATATATATATAAATATAAATATATATATATATATATATATATATATATATATAATATATATTATATATATTATTATATATATATATGTATTTATATATATATATATATATATTTATATATATATATATATATTTATATATATATATAAATATAAATATATATATATATATATATATATATATATATATATATATATATATATATATATATATATATATATATATATATATATATATATATATATATATATATATATATATATATATCTGTGAGTGTGTATAATTATTATTAATTTTTTTAATATTTATTTGATTATTATTCTATAAATTAATAATAATATTTTTTTTGTATAACAACCTTTTTTTTTTAAGTTTAATGTCCATGTTTTAACAGTTGTGCGATTTGGACAGGTTTTCATCATCCTTTTTTTTTTTTAAATTTAAAAACAACATTATCGAAGAGTCAAAACAATTTTTTATAACTAAATGATTTTCCTGGTTTTAACTTGTTAAATGAGTATTTTTCTTGTGATACTACCATTAGGAGAGGGTACCATCCAAGGTTTACAAAAAAACTCTGGTGCAAAACATTGAAGTTAAGTGTTTTGTATCAGAGCTGTTTCTCTAAGCTAGGAACCCTAGTAAATAACTTGCCTAAACCATTTTAACTCCATGACCAAGACACATAGTTTTATAGAGATTATGTTTCACTTACATATTTAGTAATCCTTACCCAGCCTTCCCTTCTATATATATTTTCAGTGTTATAATATATATATATGATATACACTGTTATTTAGTGTTATAATATATATATACACTGAAAATATATATATATTTTCAGTGTTATAATATATACTATAATCTTTTTGTTATTGTTATTATTGTTTCTTGGAATAATATCATAGTTGTTGTATCAATGCTAGTTTTAATAACTTATTGTTTTGGAACAAATAAAAACAAAATGCTGATACATCCTTGTGCAAGAAACTGTTAAAAATCTTGGTTTTACAAAAGGAACTACTGTTTTAACAGTCTTATCCATTCCATAATAGGAAATTTACCATACTTGGTAACAAAAAATATCCATTAAGCATTTTGAAAAAATATCCATTAAGCATTTAAATCGAAATTTTAACTATGGTGATAAAAATTTTAACTATGGTGATAAAGTTTTTAAATTGTGCTTTAAATTTTTTAAATTGTGCCATCAAAAAAGTACTTTGCACATGATGCAACAAGTAGATTTATTTTGATAAATACTTATTTGATATATCTTCTGTTACTTCAGATTGGTTACTAGTCACTAGTGGTGTCCTACAAGTATCTGTTCTTGGACCTCTTCTATTCGTTTTAAACATCAATAAGATTACAGACCTAGTTAGGTCTGTAATCTCATTGATGAATTTAATGAAGTTATATGCTGATGACAGCAAAGTTATTTCCACCAATTTGACCCCTGACTGCCTAATTATGCTCCAGAATGATATAAATCAAATCAATCTTGGACTAAAACCTGGCGCTTACGTTTTAATTACAAAAAGGTTCCTTATTTTAAACTTCAACAAAAACAAAAATCCTAACCACTAATATATCTTGACTTCACAAGTAATGCAGCTTCTTGAATCCTCTTACAATGAAAGAGATTTTGGCATTTGCATTACGCACAACCTCAAATGGGACATGCGTGTCAAAATAATATCATCAAAAGCTAACTCTGTCCTAGGTCAACTAAAGAAAACTTCTATCTATAAATATGCACAAGTCTGGAAAAGACTTTACACATTGCTGGTCAGACCTCATCTCCAGTATGCTGCTCCTGTATGGAATTCTATTTCTGCACACAACATAAAAAAATTTGAAAAAGTTCAAAACCACGCCACCAAAGATATTCCGTTTCTTAGAGCATTATCCAGCAAAGCCAGATCTTCATCTCACCTCTGTAAAAAAAATACGCAATCATATTTTCATCTCACTTCTGTAAATAAAGTACGTAATCGAGGTGATTTAATCTACAACATGGGATTACATATACATTATTTTCTTGTAAAAACTTTGCCAAGTCAATAAAAATTATTGTCTAAGGAAAACCAAGTTTTGTGGCAATGTTGAGAATTTTTCCAATGTCATGTTTCTCAATATCCAATACATTTATTATTTACCAGCTAAAATGATATTACGCTTTTCACAATATCATTTTTTACATTCTTATGAAACAACACCTAAATTCCCAATATCAGGAAAATGTGTATAACATTTTTTCTTGGCTAATAAAATAATAAAAACATACATACAAAATAAAATAATAAAAACATACAAGAACAAAAAACAATCGTTTGCAATTAAAAATTGAATTAGGTACTTTGATGTATTTTACTTGGGTACATCACTTTTAAATACATTTTTTTAAAGTATAAACATTTATTTTTCGTTTTTTTATTATAAATGTAAAAAAAAAAGAAAGTATATTCTTAATAGTATTAAATTTTTATGAAACGGTTTTCACGGTTTTCACTTGTAACTTAATCTTGTAACTTAAATGTTACAAGATTAAGTTTTTGAATATTCAAGTTTTTAAATACTTAAGTATTTTAAAACTAAAAGTTTAAACTTAAATATCTTTGTAAATATCTTTAAAAATACATAAAAAAATACATAAAATATCTTTAAAAATACATAAAAAAATACATAAAATATCTTTAAAAACACTTGAATATCTTTGTAGTGATTTAAAATTGCATTAAATATTTAAGGCTTTAAAATGTCCTCAGCAATAAATAATACTGTTAGCTCAATTGCTTTTAGAAATAAACAGCAGGTAAATTTAAACAGCAAATTTAAATATCTAGTAAATTTTATATTTGTATATAAAAAAGAAAATAATTAATTTTTGTATTTATAAATTTTGTTCGTAAGTAAAACTAAGTTCGTAAGCACTATCAATGACTGAATTTATTTCTCTATTAATTTAAAAGATGAATAAAATGCATTCACAAATAGAATAAAAAAAAAATTTAATCATCTTCTATTATATTTTATGCAAATATAACATAAATGGTACATTTAAATTGCAAGTTTCATTTTTGATTTTTTTGTTATTATTTTAGGTGTACTTTACCAGCAAATTTAGTTTACCGAATCTACTTTTAAATCCCTTAAAAAAAAATTATTTAATAATATCAAAAGATTTTTGTAACTTTTCCAACTTAAGGTAAGCAGTTAAAATGTAAAAAAAGAGTTTTTGAATAATAAGGATAAATTAAAAAAATAATTTATTAAACATATTTAAAAATCTTAACTAAAGTCATCATTTGAAGGCGTCAATGAAAGTATAATGAATTAAGTTTGAATGATCTTGCTTGTTAATGAAAACGCTTTTTTTCACATTATACAATAAAAAAATTTTGTTCTTAACCAATTTAATTCATTTTTTAGTGGTGAATAACATTTTAAATCTGAGTGTGATCTTCTGCAGAATTTTACCATATATATAGATTTGAAGGTCTATAAATATAATAATGCTTCATTTTATAACGACATGTAGAGTAACTTTGTGTAAACTTTTTTTTTTTTTTTTTTTTTTTTTTTCATCTTTGCTTCCAACAAGGCTGCAAGCAACCACTTTAAGAGTTGGAAGTTACTGGAAGAGAAAAGATGAAGTTTGTAGAGCAAGATAACAATTAACAGACAATTTAAAAGATTGCAAATATATGAATCACAAAAGGAAAATGAAGGAAGTGAATTCCAAAGAACTGATGTTCAAGGAAAAAAACTAGACAAATAAGAGTTTTTGGAGCACGATTTTTTTTTTGTTTTTTTGTTTTTTTATTTACTTTTTTTTTAGTTTAGCATTTTTTTTGGCAATTCTTAAAAGTAATGTTTTTGTCATAAAGTATGTCACGCTAAATTTATTTTCTGAATAGATGATCATTTGCTCTTTCGCGCAGAGGTTTTCATTCAACGTAAAACACTTTCGAATTTAAATTACTTTAAATCTCTGCGTGGAAGCAATAATAAATAAATAATTTTTAAAAGGTCGTTAAATCGAAAATTTGAAAAGGGAAAAGACATTTAAGTGAATTTTTTCTTCATTCTTTTTTTTTTTTTTAACAAAACAGCCTGGATTTTAACGTTGTTTTTCAAAACGTTGCACCAAATTAACTTATTATTAATAGTTTAAATTATTATTTTATCTACAATTTTACATGATTAATTTTACTACTATAAGTATATTAAAATATATATTAATTTGTTTTTATAATTTTTTTTTTAATAATTATTCAATGCTTAAATTATTAAACTTAAGGAAATATAATTTGATTTATTAAACCAAATTTTTTTTGTTGCACTTTTTATTGGTAAACAATTTGAATAAAAAAATTGAATAAAAACATCAGTTTAAAAACCATTTGAATAAAAAACTTAATTATAGTTAAACTTTTTTTAGTCTTCTAGATCAAGAAAGAAACAATAAATTATAAAAAATGTGGTTAATCTATTTTTTTTTTCTTTGATCTTACACGTAAGGTCTATAGGCATGTTTTTGCGCAAATATTAAGTTTTATGACGATAACTTTGTAATTTATTAATTTGAATAATTTCATTAACAAAACAGCGTCACTATGTTGTTTTACACAAGCTATTTATATTTCTAAAACAACTTTGCAATTTATTCTATTGTTGTTTTATAGCTGTTTACAATAACAATTAAATACTCTTTAAAAAAAAGCGTGTTTTATCGTAAGCATGAATGTATTAAATTTTTTTCTATGACTAATTAAAGTTATGTTTGCTTTTTACTCTTAGTTTTTTACTTTTACTTTTTTAAGTATCATGTTAAGTAAAAATAATTACTAAAAATAATATCGTAATTGTATTAAATATATTACTTACTCATTACACTGAAACTGCAATTTAAACTTTAAATAATTATTTAAATATTTTTATTATTATATATTATTTATTATATTAATATATAATTATAAAGAATATTATGAGATATAAGATTATTATAAGAATATAATGCAATATATTATCTTTTAAATATATCACAATCAACTTTAACAATTTCATAAAAAATTTAATTATTTTTAAATGCTTTTCTGACAGTATTGCCATCATTGCTATTACTGAACCCAGCTTTAGGCATGTCAACAAATAGGCTTATCTGAAGAGTAACTGAATCTCTTTCTTATATTTTATTTTCTTTCTTTCTTAAGTTTTCAGATAATTTTTTTTTTGATTATTCTCAAATTATTTTTTTTTTAAATATTTATTATAACTTCTTGATTTTCAAATTTTTCAGTTTTCCTTATTGGAGGTTACAGTGCTTTTGTTCGCAAAGTCATGTTGCAAGCTAAGATTTTAGGATTAAATTCAGCAGGCTATGTTTTCTTTTCATACGAGATACTGCTTCATGACTGCAGGAACATATCAAAGTTATCAATACAAGATAAAGATGAGTGTGAAGCACTTAATGGATTGCTTGATATTAGCTTGTTTGTTCCAGATGATGTCAACTACAGAAATTTTTCACTTCTCGTAAGAGAAGAGATGAAAAATAAGCCTTTTAATAGCCCAATTGATGCAGACGTTGAGGTAAAAATTTTATATTACAATATTTGCTATATATGGTCTTTTTGACTTGATTTACTAAAAAAGTGACATGTTATTATTGCTAAAGTTTAAAGAATTGTTTTTTTAATATTCAGTAATATTATATATAATGTATATCTATAATATTTTTATAATAAGTTTTATAAATAAATTTAAAAACGAAAAAAGAAAAAGGAATAAAATAAGAAAAAAGAATAAAATAAGAAAAATAAATGAAATAAAAATAAAGAGAGTGAAGAAAAGAAAAAGTAAAATAAAAAAGCAAAAAAAATAAACAAAAAATCAAAAACCAAATCAAACAAATTTTAAAAAAAAAAAAGAGAAAAGGAAAAAGAAACTACAATGAAGAAACAAAGTTAGTATTAGTATTAGTAATTGCTGTAACTGGTGCAAGCCAGTGAGTGTGGTATTAACACACTATGACAGCTGATTCGCTTGATTGCTGCTCATTTAGTAATCAAGACCTACTTTAAACATGTTAATCAAGACCTGCTTTAAACATGTTAATCAAGACCTGCTTTAAACCTGTTAATCAAGACCTGCTTTAAACCTGTTAATCAAGACCTGCTTTAAACCTGTTAACCAAGACCTGCTTTAAACCTGTTAATCAAGACTTGCTTTAAACCTGTTAATCAAGACCTGCTTTAAACCTGTTAAACAAGACCTGTTAACTGATTGAGCTTTAACCAACTTGCTCGGCAAGCTATTTTATAAATTGGCCAATCTATTAAATAAAAAGTTATCATGACATGCTTGCTTAGTAATTTCTTTGACATATTTAAAGCTGTGATCTCTCCTTTGAGTTTGTTGAATACTAATTTTTTTGATTGTTTCCAAATTGTTTAAACCGTTAAAGAATTTAAAAAGTTGAATCATATCTCTTTGTTGTCTCCTTTTTATCAAGTTAGTCAAGTCGAGAACTTTTAGACAATTCTCATAGTTGATTTTTTTAATTGATGGTATTACCCGAGTTGCACAATGTTGGACTCTTTCTAATAACTTAATTTCTTCCTTTTGAATAGGTGACCAAATTCCAAATAGGTGTACTACAAACTCTAACAGTGGTTGCACAAAAGAAACATAAAGTAATCTCAGCAGTCTAATATCTAAACAAACGAAGCATTTTCTAATCCGACCCAACATTTGGTTGGCTTTGCCTACACATTTTGTTACACGATTTTTCGATTTCAGATTGCTTGAGAAGATTACTCCAAAATCACTTTCAGATTCTGTTGTGTTTAACTTTTGTTCATTTATATAAAGGGGTGATTTTTTGTTATTCCGGACAAAGTGCATGACCGTAAATATTAAATTTCACAAGCTAGTCCAAGCCAGTCTTGATAAGCCAGTCTTGAGTCCACTTAAAAGCTAAATCAAGATCTGATTACAAAGAAAGAGTTGATGCACTAGAAAGCGTTTCATTCAAGATTTTGGTGTCATCTGCATACAGCTTGGTTAGATTTTTTAGAGTTTCAAGCAAATCGTTTATAAATAGTACAAACAAAAATGATCCAATTACTGACCCTTGTGGCACACCACTGGTAATTTCTACCCAAGTGGATACATTTTCTCCTATCACAACCCTTTGTTTTCTTTCTTTTAAAAATGCTTCAATCCATTGTATTGTCTGGATATTGTGTTTTTAGACCAGATATTCCATAAGCTGTAAGTTTAAGCATCAATCTTTTATGTGACACTGTGTCAAATTTTCTGGCAAAATCCAAAAAAAAACAAAGCATCAACAGGTTTACCATTTTCTAAGGCGGTTGAAATAAAATCAAGTGTTTCAAGTAGATTCGTTAGACATGATTTATTTTTAACAAAACTATCTAATTTTTAAAGAGTTTAGTGTCTTTTTTATTGGAGTGTAATGATTACATGCCACCTCGTTATAAAAAATCAGTTCATCAAACATTTCTTGTACATTTTTGTTTTGAAGCATTGTATCCAGTCAAAATTTGAAATTAGATCAGATATTTGTTTAAAATTGGAATTAGCAAATATAAATCTTTGCTTACTTTTATTGTCACGGATTGCTTTATCAGACAAGATGAAACTGAAAGATATTATTAGATGGTCTTTGGTTATGTTTCCCAAAACAAATTTTGAATCTATTTTGTTAATACTTGCTGGCTGAGTTGTAAAGATTAAGCCTAAGGTGTTCCCAAGTTGTTTATCTGACAGCTGGAAAGTTGGTATGTTAATATGCTGATAAAGAAAATTATCATTTAAAATATCTGCAAATTTGTATTTAATTCCATTCTTATTTGAAATTGCATCAACATAGCCGTTTGACCAGTTTATTGATAAGAAATTGAAGTTGCCTATGATAAGTAAGTCTTTGAACTTTACTTTGATACATCCAAGTAAATACTTGTCATTATAAAAATAAACTACTGCCCACACTTGTTCTAAATTACAGGGATTTAGAATAGTATCATTTAGTTCATTGGAGTCTAATGAGTTGTCTATATAAAAACAAAAACAACGGCCTTTTTGTCCATCTGATCTGTCTTTTCTATATAGATATAAAAGTGATTTTCAGTTGTAAACCTTCAATGTTTACAACTGAATCACTTTTAAACCATGTCTCAGTCATAGAAATTACATTTGGTTTGTATTGTTAAATTACCCATTTAAACTCATTTAACTTGTTATTGAGAGAGGTATAAACATAACAGCTTTTTAATTTGCATCTTACACTGAATTATGTAGAAATTTATTGATTTGATTTCTTTTTGAATTTGATGATCTTATTGCCATGGATGCTATACCAAAAGGGTTCATTGTCTGTTCTTGCTTGATTCATTTTATTTCTTTCAGTTCTGAGGTTAAAGTCTTGGAGTCTCTGAGCCTCAGTCAAATCTGGATTAAATATCGTTATGTACAACATTATTTCTCAATTTTTTTTAGCTGATTGTGTTGCGAAGAATATCCTCAGCTAATTCAACAAGTATTGGACCTGGTTTATTAGTTTTAGATCTCAGCCATCCAACAAATTTTGGTATTACATTCTCTTGATTTATGGGCCTAAAAATTTCATTTACTTTTGACTCGTCTTCTTTTGATTTCATTTCTATGCTTTCTTTAGTTGGTTCGACTACTACATAAATAATGACATTTTTTTCTCTTCTTTTTCTTTTGTCTAACTCATTAATGGCTACATTTGTTACCATCAACTGCTCTCTGGGCTTCTTTTTTTGTATACCCTGTTTGACAATAAGCGACTAGTCACTGATAGACTTGCTTGACTTGTTTTTTTAAGTCTTATCACACGTTCAAAGAGTTCCAAAAGAGTGTTAGAAAGCTGGCTACACCAATTATGAATGTTTTTAGTTGTTTGAGAGTGTGAACCGGCCAATTTTTGCTAATTGTCCTGTTTAAAAAAATCTAAATTCAATCCTTAACTGATATTGTCTACTCTTTTGATTAGAGGGCTACCACCTGAAAAACAGTGGATTACCTCTTGTTGTGAACTTAAAATTAATAGCTGAAAGGGCTACTACCCTGAATAACAGTGGTTTACCTCTTGTTGTGAGTTTATTTAAATTATTACACAGGGACTTATTAACACAATAAAACAGGTTTTGTTAATGTGTTTTTTAAAAGTTAAAAGAAAAAAAATATTCAAAAATAGAAAGTAGTTAAAAAGAATAAAAAAAAAATATATAAAAATTGTTTTTGAAGAAACAAAAAAGAATCATTTTTAAATTTTAATAAATTTGAAGGACGGTGTGTGTTTGCTGGGTATTATGAGATTTTGAATATTTTCATTTATTATGAAACTTTTTGTAGCAAAATGTTTGTATGTGTGACGTTTTTATTTGTGAGTGTTATCAAAAAAAAAAAAATTTTATTTATTTATTAAAACTCAGTTTTATGTAACTTTAATTTTTTATTAAAACTATTATAGTAACTTTTATTTTTTATTAAAACTCAGTTTAATGGTTCTGAGGTCAGCTAGTAGTCAGGTTTCTCGAACTCTGTGGTAGCTCTCAGAGAGGCTGATTCCATCAACAGCTGAAAAATATCAGAGTACTAACAGTGCCATGTTGCGCATGGATGGTGTCCCTGTTTGTACTTTTGGTGTGCATTGCCAAGGCCACATTGGAGCCCTTTGTTATGGCTTAGGGTTTATTAGTGGAAATGAGGCAATTGCTTGAGCTATAAAGCAGTGTACTGAGTACTATCTTTGTTTCAAGTCAAGTTCTTTAACAAATTTAAAAATGAATAAAGTAACAAAAACTGTAAAACACAAAAAACCACAGTCATCACCAAGTTCGCTAAACCTATCATTCACCAATATTCGTGGTCTTCGAAATAACTTTTCTTCTGTTGAGTCTTATCTCTTGCAAAGTTCACCAGACCTACTTGCTCTTTGTGAGACTAATTTGAGTTCAGCTGTCTCATCTTGTGATCTTAGTGTTCATGCTTATCTTCCTTTAATTCGTAAAGACTCCAATAGTCACATGCTTCGCCTGGGCATTTACATTCGTAAGAATTCACCCATTTGTCGGGAAACTAGGTTTGAATCCACAGACTACTCTTTTATGTGCTTTCGTTTAGCACCACTTCACTCATCACCTTTCTCTTTGTTCTATATCGCTCTCCCTCATCTCAAGACTGCACTCTTCTTGATATTATTTCTGATTATATTGAGCTCTCATTCTTTATCCATCAGCCAATATTGTTGTTGTTGGTGACTTTAATGTTCATCACACTGAATGGCTTGGCTCTAGTGTCAGTGACTCAGCAGGCATTAAGGCCCACAACTTTTGTCTTTCTCAATCCCTAACTCAAATAGTCAACTTTCCAACTCGCTTTGCAGACAACCCGAATCATTTACCTTCTCTACTCGACTTATGTCTTGTTTCTGATCCTAGTCAGTGCTCAGTTTCTTCACACTCACCCTTAGGTGCTTCTGATCATGGTTTGGTCTCTCTAAAACTATTATCTCATTCTTCTTTACCATCAGAATCCCCCTATCATTGTACATCTTACAACTACCTTTAAGCTGACTGGAACTCTTTCCGTGATTTTCTTTGTGATGGCCCCTGGGTAGAAATCTTTCGTCTCCCTGTTGACAAATGTGCTTCTTACATAACTTTGTGGATTCAGGCTGGCATGGAATCCTTTATTCTCTCTCGACAATTCCAGGTCAAGCATCACTCTTCTCCATGGTTTTCCTCACATTGTGCTGCTGCAATTGTCAATCGAAACCATTACTTCCATATCTATCAGCAAAACAATTCTCTAGAAAACAGACATCTGTTTATTACAGCTAGGAACCATTGTAAAAAGGTTTTGTCTAATGCCAAAGCCCGCTATTCTAAGATCTATTCTAAATCTCGTATTTCATCACAAAAATGAGGCTCTCGTGACTTCTGGAGAATCTTTAAGAGTATCAATAATTAGGGCAAATCTGTAATTCCACCTCTTTTGTATGGTTCAGACTTTGTCACCTCACCTAAAGATAAAGCTGAATTGTTTGCCAAAAACTTTTCATCAATATCATCTCTTGATGCCACTAGTTGCGTTCTACCTGATATAGCCGTCAAACAGGTTGATCCATTGCTCGACATTCGTATCACTCCAGCTTCTGTTTCTAAAGTGATTTCCTGCTTAGACTCTTCTACAGCTTGCAACCCGAACAACATACCTGTTATAGTCTTGCAGAAGTGTTCTCCAGAGCTGTCGTCTATCCTTTCAAAACTATTTAACAAGTGCTTATCAGAGTCTTGTTTTCCAGCCTGCTGGAAAGCAGCTTCTGTTATCCCTATTTTTAAAAATTCTGGAGAGCGAACCGATTCGTCTAACTACCGTCCCATTAGTCTTCTTTCTATCATAAGCAAGGTTTTTGAATCTTTAATTAACAAACACTTAATCTCTCATCTCGAATCTCATAACCTACTTTCTGATCATCAATATGGATTTGGATCTTCTCGTTCTACGGCTGATTTGCTATCAGTAATAACCAATAGGTTTTATCGCGCATTAGATAAAGGTAGAGAGGTTAAGGCCATTGCTCTTGACATTTCTAAAGCGTTTGATAAAGTTTGGCATGCTGGTCTACTCCATAAGCTTTCTTCTTACGGTGTATCTGGAAACATCTTTAAGATTATTGAATCCTTTCTTTCCAATCGTAGTAAAAAAGTTATCCTTGATGGACAGCACTCTTCTTCTTATTCTGTAACCTCAGGGGTTCCCCAAGGTTCAATCCTTGGCTCTATACTCTTTTTAATTTACATTAACAATCTTCCAGATATTCTCACATCTAAGGTGGCATTGTTCGCTGATGATACTACCATTTATTCTTGTCACGATAAGAAGCCAACTCCCTCCGATTGCTTGCAGGAGGCATCTGAGCTTGAAAAGGATCTCACTTCTGCTACAGCATGGGGCTCACAGTGGCTGGTGAACTTTAATTCAGATAAAACTCAATTTTTTTCAGCCAATCGTTATCGCAATAGTTTAGACCTTCCTATATTTATGAATGGTAATGTACTCAATGAGTCTCCTACCCTTCATCTTCTAGGATTAACTCTTACTTCTGATCTTTCTTGGAAACCTTGTATCAAATCCATTTCAAAATTAGCATCTGCTAAAGTTGCTTCTCTTTATCGAGCTCGTCAATTTCTTACTCTGGATTCTATTCTCTATCTCTATAAATCTCAAATCCGGCCTTGTATGGAATACTGTTGCCATATCTGGGGGGGATCTTCTAATGATGCCCTTTCTCTTTTAGACAAGGTGCAAAAACACATTGTAAACATAGTTGGACCTGCTCTTGCAGTTAACCTTCAACCTCTGTCACATCGTCATAATGTTGCTTCTCTTTCTCTTTTCTACAAATACTATAATGGTCACTGCTCGAAAGAGCTAGCGTCTCTTGTGCCATCTACTAAAATTCATTCTCGTTTTACTGGTCATTCAATTAAGTCTCATCCATTTTCTGTTACTGTTTCTAAGTGCTCCAAAAACTCTTATTCGTCTAGTTTTTTCCTTGAACATCAGTTCTTTGGATTTCGCTTCCTTCATCTTGCTTTCCTGATTCATATAATTTGCAATCTTTTAAGTCGTCTGTCAATCGTTATCTTGCTCTACAATCTTCATCTTTTCTCTTCCAGTAACGTCCAACACTAATTAGTGGTTGCTTGCAGCCTTGTTGGAAGCGAAGATAATTAAAAAAAAAAAAAAAAATTAAGTGCGGAATTTAAAAATTTAAAAATGAAAATAAAACAAGGTGGGTGGCTGGATTTGTAGTGTGTTGGCTGAGATGTTGAATGTTTTAGATGTGGGTCCCTAATGTGTGTTTAAGACCTTTGCAATTCAATTTAAAGTAAAATTGTAAATGAAAAATGAAAGAAAAGTTCAATGGTAAAATTTTTTTTAAAAAGGCAGAAATGAGAGGTAATGAAGATTAAAGAAAGAATTGTCGATATAAAAAAAAAAAAGATTTATCATCAGTATGCAGTTTAGTTGCAGGTCTGGAAAGATAATAGATGCAACAATAGGTGCAATATTGAAGTTTAATAGAGATTTTAGGAAAAGATAAAAGATTTGGACTTTATGGAATTTTTAATAAGCTTTCAATAAAGTACCAAAAGAGTTATTGGTCATTGAGTTTAAACTGAAATTATGTATTTCACATTATTTTATTTCAGTCTATAAAATTTTTTACTTTAAATTTTTTACTTTAAATTTTTTTATTAAATAAGCTTTTTAATATGAAGTACCGCGCTCAACTTAATTTCTCTGCGCAGCAGTCTTGCTTGTCAAGGTTCGTGTTTCGGAGTTAAAGAGTTGAGAGAGGGTTGTACCACGACTTACAACAACAACAAAAAAAATAAAAAAACGAGTAGCCCCTTGACTGTAGTGGCCCCTCGGGCCTTGGGGAGGTGAATATTTAAAAAAAAAAAAAAAAATAGTGTTGATATTATTTTTTGTTTATATTATTTGAGTATCAAGTCAATCTTGTTTTTAAAAGAAACTGAATCTGAGTCTATTGCAATCTTGTATAAAGGAGTTACAATCATTAGATATTCTGTTTGTAAAGAATTTGTGTCTGTGATTGTTTCATTCTTTGAGTCTTTGTTTAATATCTCCCTTCTAATTCTCATGTTGTGTTTGCATGTGATTGATAGGGTTATAGAAATTTAATATATCAAGTTCTTTAAATATTAGATCTATTATTATTGAATATTAGAATTACTAGATAACCATTTGTTTTGACCACTTGTTTGACGATATAATTTTAAAGGTTTTCTCTTGATCATTTATCACTGAAATCACTTTTGCAATCAATTTTCAACTTTAAATCAATATTTGATATATCAGCAAAGAGCTTTACAACTTTATTTAGGTTGTTTAGATTAACACAAATAATTTATGAATATAAATATAAAACACTTATAGTATTTTTCCATTTAGATACATGTTCTTTTAGTACAACTTGTTACATTCATTCATTCTATTGCTGAGACCTTTACACAAATTTAATATTTTAAATCAAATGCCAAGTGCTTCTAGTTTTACCAAAAACTATTAACTGAATCAAAAGCTTTCTCAAAATCTGTCTGCCTTTTGACTTGATTACCTGCTTAAGTTGCCTTACTGATTTACTTACCTAAGTTACCTTATGATTTACTTTTCTTCTTTTCGTGATCCGAAAATTGCTGTTTTAACTATTTTCTGTACCTAAATCAGAATTTTTTTTTCTAAATCACTTTTTTATTTTTCCAATTTTCTTAACCAATTTAAAATGAAAGTTTTTATAGAGTTTTTTTGACTGTAAATTTAGGCATTTTTATGGAGTTTTTGTGACTGATTTAGTTATATTAGACTTTTTTTTTAATGCATTTTTTTTAAGTATTTTTAAAATAATAATTAGAACTTTGTTATGTTTTTTCTTATATCAAAATCTTTTACTCAGGTTGAAAGCTATGCAGCCTTCCTGCATGATGCTACAATGTTGTATGCCTTTGCTTTGAATAAAACTTTGAATCAGAATGGAAGTATCACAGATGGTTTAAGTATTGTTAAAAACATGCTGAATTTTACTTTCTCAGGTATTTGTAAATGTAAATAGTTATATAATTTATATATTAGTCAAATAAATATTTAGACAATGTAAAAATCAAATACAAGTTTATGATGGTGATAATAATGATGAGGAGGACAATTCATTATCATCATTGATGATGTCGATGATGATAATGATGATGATGATGTGTGTTAAATGATGTATTTCAATTATTCTCATAGTTATTTGACTGTTTTTATAAAATTTTATTTTTAAAGGAATTGATTTGCATTGTTTCTAGGTGCATCAGGGAAAGTAAGTATTGATCATAAGGGTGATCGAACTGCCTACTATCAAGTAAAAAATGTTCAAAATCTTCAATTTAAACGTGTTACAAATTACTTCACTGATTCTGAAAAGTTTGTTGATACTGAAACTCGTATTTTATGGCCTGGTAAAACAACAGAAGTGCCACGTGGAAAACCAAAATGTGGCTTTGATAATGAATTATGTAAACCAACAGGTGATCTTTTGATTAACTATGAAGTTATAGCTATATTTTTAGTGTCACTAAAAACGCTTTTTGTTATACTTGTTATATGTATCCTTTTTATTTCTTGTTCTTATTTCTTTCTGTTTTAATATCTTTTTTTATCTCCATTTTATTTTGTTTGTTTATTTTTCTTAATTGTTAGTTATAATTATTATTTTTTAATGTCTTATATATAATATATATATATATATATATATATATATATATATATATATATATATATATATATATATTTGTATGTATGTACAGCAGTGTGAAAAGTATTAGCATCATCTACTATATATATATATATATATATATATATATATATATATATATATATATATATATATATATATATATATATATATATATATATATATATATGTATATATATATATATATATATATATATATATATATATATATGTATATATATATATATATATATATATATATATATATATATATACATATATATATAAAAATATATAAATGTGTATATATATATATATATATATATATATATATATATATATATATATATATATATATATATATATACATATATATATAAAAATATATAAATGTGTATATATATATATATATATATATATATATATATATATATATATATATATATATATATATATGTATATATATATGTATATATATATATAAATATATATATATATATATATATATATATATATATATACACATATATATATATATAAAAAATTTATGTTATGTCACTAGTTGGAAAGTACAAAGTGAGAGTTTAACTAGTTAAATATAAGTATTTTAATTTGAATATTTTTTTATAATACAGTATAATTTGATGGCTATTTCGACATATGTCATCCTTATTAGTAAATTTCTAATGGTTGTGGGAAAGTGTGGATAGCAAGCATAATAAAGACACTTAGTGTGTTTTATTTGTATTTTGAAGGAATATTGATATAATGATATATATTCTGTGATACATAGTACAAGTAAATTTTTATTTACCAATGGAAAATTATTTGTTATTATTATTAACATGTTGTTTTAAAATTACTTGAAGCTTTTTATTTAAGTTTTTTATTTGTTTATATATATGTATATATATATATATATATATATATATATATATATATATATGCATATATATTAGTGTGATTCTATTTTTTAGTTTGTCATGCAAACCTTTTCGAAAGCACGAATAATTGTATTCTAAGAGCAACTAAATAAAAAATAAAAAATTTGAAAATTTTACTAGGTCAAAAAAAAAGTTACTTTATGGAAATAAGACAAAATAATTCCCTTTTTTTTTAGCCTTTTTTTATTTTATACATAAGCTATAGAAATACGACAAAGTTTATAAAGTTAAAGTTATTTTTTATTCAACGTTTGCATGAACATTTCTGTTAAAAAAAGTCTCTCAAGAGTATCATCAGACTTAGCCCGACAACATCAGATGTCCATAGCTCAGAGTCCTCTCTTAACTACCTCATTTGTTCTATGCACATTCTTGAATGAGATTTTAACACCAAGAATATATCTTGTCAGAGCTTCTTGGGCTTTAATGCAGCTTGATATAGTTTCTTTTAAGTTTTCCCAGTTGGATTCTTCTCTCATTTTAAACCATGCCAGTGACCAAGCACAGCTAATAAGCTTAGCTATTTCTTTCAATAATAGTCATTCTTCAGGAATTAGAAAGTAGCTAAATAAGACATAAATTGCTCTGCTGTTCCACCTTGCTGAGTGAGAACTTGGTAATTTTGTTGGTAGCTGGAGTTTGGGTAAAAGTAGTGCCTAAATGCAATACATAACCTGGAAAAATAAACAATAGAATGGATTAACGCGTTCATCACATATACAAATCATTGATATTGAAAATAATAATTTTAAATAAAACAAACTTAGCCAATAGCTTATAATCTTCTCTCCAGGTTTTTACAGTAGAAGGAGGATGAGGTGTTTTATCCATGATATTGTATGGTTCTTTCAATTGCAGATATTTATTTTTTAGTTTCTGAATGAACTTAAAATCATTTAGAGCAGGCGATTTTGATGGTGTTGGCACATGGAGAATTACCATTTTTTTCAAAATGTAAGCATTGCATTCATAATAAGAAACAGGTCTGTTAAATAGCTTAGATGTTAAATCTCTATTACTCCACCAAAACCATCATAAGATCCACCGGAAGTAAAATGAAATAATTTTAATTGTACATTTAAAAATAAGTAATTTTAACTTTACTAACCTGTATTGACAGAGCAGGTCTCACAAATTATAAGGGATATTTTATGCACAATATTATACTCTAACAATGTTTCTGTTATCATAGCTGCTAGATTTTTAGATGTTTCGCTAGTATGTAATGTTATGTGTCCAAAGGACCAAAATATTGGTCCATCAGACTGAAGGCCAATGACCATGGGTTCCACTTTTTTAATCCCATAATCATATGGTGCCACACCTTTTCCATCAAAGTGTAATATAAAGGATAATTGAACAGACAAAGCTTCTTTAGGTTTAAGTAAGGTTGTGACTTGCAACCTTTGACCAGCTTTAAAAATAGCCGATTGATTTGGAGTTAAAATATCACCATGGAAATAACTTAATGAGCGAGTTACACTAGCTCCTTTGTGGGTAGAGATACCAGTTTCTGCACACATAATGGCAATCGGCATTGCCTTACACTAAAAATAAAATTAATATTAATTAAATTAAGAAAACTATTTTTATTTCAAAAGTATTATTACTCACTTGATTTAAACTTCTGTTTGGGTGGTTCGAACAAAGGCTGATAATCATCAGCGTTATCATTTTTCAAGCTTGATTCTGTATACATCCATAAAGTAACTTTTTTTTTAACCTAGTAAAATTATTTTTTATTTAGTTGCTCTTAGAATACAATTATTCATGTTTTAGAAAAAGTTTGCATGATGCATATATATATATATATATATATATATATATATATATATATATATATATATATATATATATATATATATATATATATATATATATATATATATGTATATATATATATATATATATATATATATATATATATATATATATATATATATATATATATATATATATATATATATATATATATATATATATATATATATATATATATATATATATATGTATATATTCATCATGCAAACATAAATGCAAAATATATATGCATATATATATATATATATATATATATATTTGTATATATATAATATATATATATATATATATATATATATATATATATATATATATATATATATATATATATATATATATATATATATGGAAAGAGAGAGAGAGAGAGAGAACTAGTATATAATTATATATGATTTATTAATAAAATTTTTAATTTTAAGAACCTTGGGTGTACGCTGTATGTGGAGTCCTTGGTGTAGTTGTGATTGTGGCAGTTCTTGTTTTCACTATTGTTCATTACAAGCAAGTAGAATATTTTTTAGTAATAGATTTTTGTTTATTTTGTATATATATTCTTTATTTATTAATATACTGGGTATTGATCTAAATCAAAACGTCACTAAGAATGAAAAGTCATTTCAAGCATTATACTTTATTATAAATGAAAAATATGACTTTCAGTAGAAGAGGCTGTCACAAAAATGTAATAAGACAAATTTATATGTATTAGTTTTTTTGTTATGATTTATTGATTTAATCTTTAAATGATTAAAAAAAGTTTATCTAACTAAAAAGTCTATAGAGCTAATTGGTCTGTAAAGTATGTCAACTCAATGGGCATGCGTTTTCTGGGGGGTGTCCATCAGATATCCAGATGTCTGTGAGACGCCCCCCAGAAAACGCATAAATTTAAATTTAATCTTCTAATGAATTGAGATGCTTAAGTTTTGCATGATCTAGGAAACATTATTTTATAATAAGAACTTTTATTTATATTTATTTTTGTGCTAAATGTAAAACAAAACTTTAAACCGAGTTTTCTCCGTTTTGCAAAAATGTCAGTTACAACCTTTCTGAACGGAGTTCACAGTGTAGTGTGTTTTGTAAAGTATATCAAGTAGGGTTTCTTATTTCCTGTAAGTTTTGCATCCTGGATTCCCAGTGTAGATTTTTCTATATCCTGTGAGTTTCCAAGATCCTGGAGTTTCCAAGATCCATTTTTTTATTTAAAACATAATTTAAATAATAAACAAGCTGTTTCATTTACAAATTTACATAGCATAATAATTTAAAATATTTTTTGAATTCAAAATTTGCCTCAAAAAGCATAAATAATCAATTGATTTATCACTTACTAGCAGTAAGCAACCAGTAATAGGCGTTGTTAGTAAATAAAATAAAAAAAACACCCGCATATAGAAAAGCCTAGAAACTATTTTAAAGTAGAAAAGCCTAGAAAATGGCATAATTCGACTAATAATATTAAATTAGCGTATTAATATTATCAGATTTGTGAACAAATTTTCCCCAGCTGCAAAAGAAGGTCTTAATGACCATTAATACTGAGTATATGTTGTCTCTATGCTTTCTAACTGCCTCGAAAGTATTAGTTTCTTTTATGAGGTTATTTAAATGAGAAAGGTTTTCAAAATCTCCTATTTTTACTTTTTGACATTAGAAATAGTAACATCAAAATAAAGTATCATCCAACTTTTCTTCAAGTGTCAAATTACTTTTGTTTAAAAACAACATCAAAATATAAAATGGTTTTATTCAAAATGGTTGAAGTATTGAAGAAGCATTATGAAGAAATTGAAGTTTTGACAAATCATTGACTATTCCAAGATGAAAATAACATGAATATTTAATTTCCAAGATGAAAATAAGATGAAAATTTAATTTCCAAGATGAAAATAAGATGAAAATTTAATTTCCAAGATGAAAATCTAAGATGAAAATCAAGATACCTTTTGCATCAGTCAGACTTACATTACCTCTGTTGAACCTTTCAATTCCAACTTTTATTGATTGTAGTAAAATTGTTCTTGTGTTCTTTACCGCATATTCTTCTTCGAAAATATTGAGATTTTCTTTTAAATTGATAATTGCTTTTATGTTTTTGTTTAAGAAATTTTACTAGCATTGCAACAATACTGCTCCAACTTGTTTTAACATCTAATATCAACTTGACATCATCCAGCATCAACTTGTTTAACATCCAAAATCAACTTTAGTTCTTTATGAAATGTACATTTTACATAATTTGTAAGATTTCGTTTTGAAGAGGTGACTTGTGGAACATTCAAACAACATTTTTTGTACCTTTTAAATCGATAAGGAAACATTTATGCTACTTTATAAATCATCAGTGAATGCAACGTATCTTAAGCTGTATGATTATTTCCAAATGTGATTATATTATCATAAACATCACAATCACTAAATTTGTCTTCAGAATCTTGCACCTTCAACATATTTTGCCTTTGAAGGAATTGTCTTTTTGTAAAGGTCATTATTAGAGCTTAAATTATTGATAAATATAAAAGTTTTTGTAAAGATCATTAAATACAGCTCGAATATAAGTTCAAAAATGGCACTTAGCCAAATTTTTTCATTGTGGATGCTCTGTAAGGGACACTTGCTATGATGTGCTTTTTCATTGATAAATTAACTTTGAAAAATTTTTTTCAGCTAGATCCACATTTTTATCTGCAGCTACTGGAGTTTTATTTTATTATTATTTTTTTAAACATCTTCACTTTCAACAAGGCTGCAAGCAACCACTATTAGACTTGTTTAAAGTTACTTGAAGAGAAAAGATGAAGTTTATAAAGCAAGATAATGATTAGCAGACGACTTGAAAGATGGCAAATTATATAAATCAGGAAAACAAGAAGAAAGGAGCCAATTCCAAAGTTCTGTGCTCTAAAAATAAGAATTTTTGGAGCACAGAACAGTCATAGTAAAATGACGAGACTTAATTGAATGACGAGTAACATGATAATGAATTTTAGTAGATGGCACTAGAGATGCTAGCTCTTTAGAGCAGCGCCCATTATAGTATTTATAGAAAAGAGAAAGAGAAGCAGCATTACAAGTGACAATTGTTGAAGGTTGGCTGCAAGTGCAGGTCCAACTATATTTACAATTCGTTTTTGCACCTTGTCTAAAGGAGAAAGGGCATCCTGCGAAGATCTTCTCTTAATATGGCACCAATATTTTATACAAGGGCAGATTTGAGATTTATAGAGATAAAGAATAGAATCTATAGTAAGAGTACAAGGAGCACTATAAAGAGATGCAACCTTTGCAGATGCTAGTTTTGTAGTGGATTTGATATATAGTTTGCATAAATAATTGGAAGTAAGAGTTAATCGTAGAAGATGAAGAGTAGATGACTCATTGAGTGCATTACCGTTAATATATATAGGAAGATCTAGGTTTTATTTGAGTTAAAGTTTGCCAGCCACTAAGAGCTCTATGTTGTAGCAGAAGTGATATCCTTTTCAAGCTCAAATACCCCCTCCAAGTAATCAGAGAGTTTTGGCTTTTTATCAAGACAGGAATAAGTGGTAGTATCATTTGGGAACAATGTCACCTACGATGAGAGAATTTAAGAAAGATCATTGGTGTAAATTTAAAAAAGTATAGGGCGAAAGATTGAACCTTGAGGTGAAGTAGATGAGATGAGAAAGAGTGCTGCCCATCAAGAACAACATTTATACTATGATTGGTAAGGAATGAATTAATAGTCTTGAAAATATTACCTGACCGTAAGAGGAGAGCTTATGGAGAAGACCAGCTGCCAAACTTTATGAAAGGCTTTAGAAATGTTGAAAGCAATAGCCTTATTCCTCTCCACAACTATCTAATCCACGAGAATACCTATTGGTTATTAACGTTAACAAATCAGCAGTAGAACAAAAAGATCGAAATCCATTTATGATCAGAAAGTAAGTATTTGATTCAAGATGAGAGATTAAGTTTTTGCTAATTAAAAACTCTAAAGCCTTGGTTATGATAGGAAGAATGGGATGGTAGTTAGAATCATCCCCAGGTTCCATGACTTTGTTTATCTAATGAAAGTTGAGACATTAAATACTTCTTTTGTTATTTCCAAAAGCACACTTTGTTTATCAAAGTCATATAGTTTTTTATTATACTCATAACATACGATTTTTAGATCTAAAAAAGACCATGTCTTTTTTAGACAATGATATAATTTTACAACTTAATACAATACAATGTTTAATTTTACAACTATTTGAAATTATAAAAACAAAATGAAACGACTTTTGTTATTCCATTTTGTTGTTTCAAGAAATGTTGTTTACACTTAATTTATAAAAAGAAAGTTGTTGCATTTTCTTAAAAGTTTATTTTAAATAAAGCAGTATTTTTTTTCATTAAAAAACACTATTATGTATAATGTGTATTGTAAATTTTATATAGAGCTATTATGTATAGTGTGCTTTGTAAATTATATATTGAGCTATTATGTATAATGTGCTTTGTAAGTTATATATTAAGCTATAAAGTATAGTGTTCTTTGAAAATTATATATCGAGCTATTATGATAGTGTGCTTTGTAAATTATATATCAAGTTATTATGTATAGTGTGCTTTGTAAGTTATATACCGAGTTATTATGCATAGTGTGTTTTGTAAATTATATATCAAGTTGTTATGTATGGTTTGTATCAATTTTTCAATTGTAACAGTTGTTCAAATGTTTTAATATAGTTAAATAAAATCATATATTATATAGTACATATAAAATAGTTGTTTAATTAAATGTTTTAATAATTCTTTAAATTGATTTGATACGCCACTTTTAATCAAAAAATAAATTTTTCCATGTTTTATTAGCTAATAACAATTGAAGCTTGATGATTTATATATCCATTGATCATTTAGCTCAAAAATTTTTATTTTTTAATTTTTAATTTTTATCTGTGAATATTTTTTGATATTGTTTAATTTAATAGTATATTTATATAATTGTTATTAAATTTAATTTAGTTAATTTAATAGTCATTACTTTTATTTAGTTATTATTAAAATAATATTGTTATTGTATTTGTATTTATATAAACAATATTTTTATACTAATTACTCTTGACAATAAAATAATGTTATTACCATTTTTAGAAGAAAAGCATTTGAAAGTGCTTTGATGGCTCAGCAATGGAAAGTTAAGTTCAGTGACATCATCTTTGATGGGCGAGTTTCGAAGTCTACTAGCAAAAATGCTGTGAGTTGATTTTTAATTGATGGATTGAAAACTAAATCTCAGACAAATAAATCTAATTTTAAAAATTATAAATTATATTATATATATAAAAATTAAATTAATATGAGAAGTAAATTTTAATTGTTTATTTGGTCAATAAATTGTTTCAAAACTAAAAACTTAATACATAAACTTTACTCTTATTTCTATACAATTATTAAATCAATGTTTAGGTAGCTATGGTGGCTCCTTATTTATTTTTGACACCAACTTTAACTCAGATAAAATTCAATTTTTTTCAGCCATTATTGCAACAGTTTAGGTCTTCCTATATTTATTAATGGTAATATACTTGATGAGTATTCTACCCTTTGTCTTTTAGGATTAACTCTTACTTCCAAGTCATCTGTTTATCGTTATCTTGCTTTATAAACTTCATTTTTTCTTTTCTAGTAATTGCTAAGTATAAAGGTGGTTGCTTGCATCCTTGTTGCTAGGTGGTTGCTTGCATCCTTGTTGAAAGTGAATATGTTTAAAAAAAAAAATAATGTTTTTTTATTTAGGTTATGTCACAAGGAAGTAATCAATCTTTAGCAAGTGTTGGTGGTATGGAAACTCATAATCAGATTTTCACTAAAGTAGGAATATTGCAGGTATAATCAAAATCTTCTATATATTTCTATATATTACTATATATACATATAAGCATACAAATATATATATATATATATTTATGTTGCCGTAGAAGAAGGAGGGGGGGGGGGGAAAGATAAACAATAACCTGTTTATTTGTTAATATTGTTATGGTGAAATCTTTGTGTTGAAAATTTTGTGCCTAACTGATTCATGCTACTGATTTCTTTTATTAAAGTGTTAACAGAGAATTAAACCAAAGAGTCAATTAAATATTTTTTTCCTTTCAAGTTTTGTTTAATATTAAATTCAAAATTTGATAAAAAAAATTTTTTGTTTTCTTTCTACTTCCAATATGACCACAGACTGGAGGTGGAAAAAAACCCACCTAAAAGTTGTGTTTTAGTGAGTTTTTTTTTTGTTGCAGTTCATGTATAAGATAAAGTAGGTAGAAAAAAAAAACATTTTATGTTTTCTTTCTACCTCCAGTGTGACCACAAGCTACTTTATTACTATTCATGCTCATTATTATATTTCAAACCTAATAATATGATTACTTAGATTATAAATAAATTTTAGCTTTAAACACTTTTTTGTTGATTAAATTTATATACAATTTATTTTAGAATTTAAAAATAATTATTATTATTCTTTTGTTTTGAAACAGTTTTCAAAATTGTATAAAATTTTTTTTTTCAATATTACACTTTTTTATTATTATTTATAAAATGATTAACATTATTTTTGCTCACTTAAATATAAATGCTGACAAATAAAATTTATTTGTAATTACAAAAGTAAAATTAAACACCAACTAAAACTACAAAAGTAAATAAACTTAATAATAGAATTAATACAAGAAAATAATATTATAATTTTTTTGGTTTATTGATTATTATATTAATAATTAAAGAATTCCTTTTCAGGTTTAAATGTATTAATTTTAAAATTTAAAATTTAAGAAGTTGAGAATATATTAAAAAAATTTTTTAAATAAATATAATTATAATTTTATTACAATATACATATATTTATTACAATATACATACATATATATATATATATATATATATATATATATATATATATATATATATATATATATATATATATATATATATATATATATATATATATATATATATATATATATATATATATATAAATCTATTTATCTATTTAATAAATATAATATATATTTTCAGGGAAATTACGTTGCCATCAAACAACTTCGTAAAACTTCAATTTTACTTAATAGAGAGCTACTTCTTGAATTAAAGGAAGTGTCAGAGCTTCAGCATCAAAATGTGAATTCATTTATTGGAGCTTGTGTTTCCAACCCTAATATTTGTTTAATTACGCATTATTGCAATAAAGGAAGTTTACAGGTAAATCAAAGTAGTAATTGTTAGTCGGTAAAATACGGTAGTGGTGTAGTGGTAGAGGGTTTGCCTCATAAGCGAGAAGTTCTCAGTTCACCACGTACCTGGTAGTACTGTGCTCTTGTTTCATCAGGTTTGTGTTTTGGAGTTATAGAATTGAGAGAGGGTTGTAACCACAACTAAAAAAAGTAGCCTCTTTGACTGTAGTGGCCTTCATGGCCTTGGAAAGGTGGATTAAAATGGGAAAAACAATTAAGTTTTGTTTTAAATATCATTTCTGTTTTTGATTTTTTTAATAGGATGTTTTGTTTAATGAAGATCTGAAGTTTGATTGGATGTTTCAAATTTCTATTGCATCAGATATTGCAAGAGTGTGTGTTTTTTTTTCTTTTTATTTATTGTTTTAAGCACAATTAAGAAAAGTGAAACCTTTTTTGCTTCTTATTAGGGAATGCATTATTTGCATCACAATACTTCCATGGGTGTTCATGGTAACTTAAAGTCAACAAACTGTGTAATTGATAGTCGCTGGGTTTGTAAAATAACAGATTTTGGTTTATTTAAGTTTAAAGAAGGTCAAGCAGTTGACCTTGATTGGAGTGAGGTGCAGATTTATAATAGTACGTAAAAAAGAAAAACTTTTTTTTTAACTTTTTTTTTTCTAGAAATAATATGCTATTGCTTTATAAATATCATTGTTGACCATCTATATAAATATATATATATTTTTCTTTCTAAAAGACTTACTTTGGACAGCACCAGAACACATTCAAAACCCAGATTCAGCGTACTCAGGCCCAGGGGATGTCTTTAGCTATGGTATTATCTTACAAGAAATAATTACGCGAGGGTACCCTTATTGTATGTATGAATCACTTACATCAAAAGGTAGGGGTGATATTTTTTAATCTTTAGGTTTAAAAAAGTTTAGTCATTGTGTAAAAAATAAAATAGTGTTGTGTGGTGTAAAAACATTTTTTTTTTAGTGTAGAAATGTCTGTATGCCACATAAAAAGCTGTAACAATATTTTACGAGGTGTAACAACATTTTGTGGTGTAAAATACTGTAACTATTTTTTAGAAATTGTAATGCGTGTTAAGAAAAGAACAAATCCAGTGTTTCGTCCTTTGGTTTCTGAGTCACTTGGCAATCATGAATATCACAATTTAATGAATTTATGTTGGGATGATGATCCTCTTATTCGACCAAAATTTGATGAAATTAATAAAATACTTAGAAAGCTCAACGGAGGAAAGTAGGTATTTAATAAAATACTTAGAAAGCTCAATGGAGGAAAGAAGGTGTTTAATTGCATTTAGAAGTTGCAAAACTACAGAAAAAAAAAAAATTATAAGTCTAAAAAGACAAAACCATTGCCCAGTCTTCTTGCTGTTTTACTAAGTATAATAGTAAGAAGACTGGGCAGTGGTTAGTTGGGTCAGAGCCACTAATCATTGCCCACTAACTTTAAATAGTTTAAAAAGTATTTTAAAAAGAGAGTTTTGGAGAAAATTTTTTTTTTTTTTTACAAAATATTTAATTTACTTAAAAAAAAATTTTTTAAATTTTAAAACAACAAATAATTAAAAATAATTTTAAGTTTTAAAACAAAAATGTTTTCTTGTTCAAAATTATTTAAATCTTGATCAGTTTTTTGTTAAAAGTAAACAACAAAAGTAAACAATAGTTGAATTGTTGAATGTTAAAAGTAAACAATAGTTGAATTGTTGAATGTTAAAAGTAAACAATAGTTGAATTGTTGAATGTTAAAAGTAAACAATAGTTGAATTGTTTAATGTTAAAAGTAAACAATAGTTGAATTGTTGAATGTTAAAAGTAAACAATAGTTGAATTGTTGAATGTTAAAAGTAAACAATAGTTGAATTGTTGAATGTTAAAAGTAAACAATAGTTGAATTGTTGAATGTTAAAAGTAAACAATAGTTGAATTGTTGAATGTTAAAAGGGCGGAAGTCCAATAATGTAAACTTTCTAGAAACTTAAAAAAATTGCATTTTCATCATTTAGTAATTCTTTGTTAATGTTCAATATTTTTTTTTTGAATGTGAAAAATAAATTTAGTAAGAAACATTATCCTCCTTAAAAAAAAAAAATTATTAAACCATTAACAAAAATTTACTATGGGGGAAAATGCAGTTTTTTTTTTAGTTTCCCAAAAGTTTATATAGTTGGACTTCTGCCCTTTTAACATTACCGATTCAGTTATTGTAAAATAAACAAAAAACATTTTAAATAAATTTTTTTTTACTTTTTCAATTTTTATTTTACAAAAAATATTTTTTTTAGAAATATCAATATTGTGGATAATATGATAAAAATGATGGAAAAATATACAGACCATTTAGAAGAGCTTGTTGCAGATCGCACAAAGCAATTAGAGGATGAAAAAGCTAAAACAGATGAGCTGCTTTATAGGATGTTGCCAAGGTAACAACCTTGTTCTAAAATTGTATTTATTATTATGTAAAATATCTATCTTATAGTTATACAAATATTAATGTAATAATAGTAATAAACGTCAACATTATTAGTCTTCATCTTGTTATTTCACCTCCTGTTTAATATTCTATTTCCTGTTGATATTTTGCCTCCTGCTGATGTTTTCACACATGGTCATATCAATTCTAATATTTTATGGTGACTTAGTATCTGTTATTTTGTGAGGTTTTTAATATTTTGAGACATTATTCTAAGTCAGTTGATACATCAACTGACTTAGAATAATGCACTCCCCTTTGTTTTCTCGTTATTTATATCAGTCAATGTATAAACATGCCACTGCTAAATAAGCCAGTCAATGTATTTACAAAAAATTAAAAAATCAAAGAAATAAAATTAAAAAAAGTAACTGTTACTGTTTAAAAAAACAGTTACTGCTAAAAAAAAAAAAAAAAAAAGAAAAAGAAAAATGAAAATAAACACTTTTTGAACTTCCTAGTTAATAGAAATGCAGTAAAAAAAAATTTGTTTCTGAAATTGTTTTTATGGTTTTACCACAAAAATAAATCCAATTATTTTTTTTATCATTAAAATAAGTTTAATTGTAATAATTATAGTATACTAATAAAATACATAAATGTAATAATAGTATTGATTAATATAAAATTATATTAAAAATATTACAGGACTGTAGCAGAACAATTAAAACGAGGGGAATTGGTTGAAGCAGAATCATTTGCTATGGTTACTATATTCTTTAGTGATATTGTTGGTTTTACAAAACTTGCATCAGAAAGCACTCCTTTACAGGTTTCCTTTTCAGTCTTTTTTTTTTTAATTATTACTATTTTGTTTATTTTATTTGTCTCTTATATTGTAGGAAGTGTCTTATTTACTGTTTTTCTTTCATTTTTTTATTTTTAGTTTTTTAATCATTTTTTTCTTGTTGCTTTTTAACTTTTGTTTAAAAAATAATAATAATTTAAAATAATGTTCTTTTCAAATTTTGTAGGTTGTTGACTTGTTGAATGATTTGTATACTTGTTTTGATACCATTTGCGATCAATATGATGTTTACAAGGTATTATGTGTGTCTTTATTTTATATATATATATATATATATATATATATATATATATATATATATATATATATATATATATATATATATATATATATATATATATATATATATATATATATACACACATATATATAAATATATTTTAAATATATATATATATCACCCCAATAGTGAAACTATAAATAGTGTCCTTGAATAATTATTTTGATTTTTAGCAGTAACAAGCTTTTTCCTTTATAACAAAACTTTATATATATATATATATATATATATATATATATATATATATATATATATATATATATATATATATATATATATATATATATATATATATGTACATATATATATATATTTTTTTTAAATATATATATATCACCCCAATAGTGAAACTATAAATAGTGTTCTTGAATAATTATTTTGATTTTTAGCAGTAACAAGCTTTTTCCTTTATAACAAAACTTTATATATATATATATATATATATATATATATATATATATATATATATATATATATATATATATATATATATATATATATATATATATATATATATATATATATATATATATATATATATATATATATATATATATATATATGTACATATATATATATTTTTTTTAAATATATATATATCACCCCAATAGTGAAGCTATAAATAGTGTCCTTGAATAATTATTTTGATTTTTAGCAGTAACAAGCTTTTCCTTTGAAAATTTGTTTAAAAAGAATTGTTTTAATTATGAAAAAAATAAAAGCTCTAAAAGAACTCAAAGTGATAAAAAAAGTTTTGATTCTGTTAAAGAGGTTTTCATAGATTTTGAAGATTATTAAAAAACTTTTTTTTTCCAAGCACAAGCGAAGCTACAACTAACCACTATTTAAGTTAAGATGCAAAAAAGAGAAAAAAGAAGAAAGTTAAGATGCAAGTTAGAGAAGAGAAGAAAGTGAAGATGCAAAAAAGAGAATCAAAAAATGGAAACTTAGGAGAATTGGAGACTTAAAAAACTATTATATGATTCATTAAAGCATGTAAGAAAACTCTAAAGCATTGATGTTCAAGGAAAAAAAACTAGATAATAAAATAAAATAATAATCAACGATTATCAGTAAGACTATTAATATGGATGAGGGTTAACACAGAACCAAAGAATAAAACCTTGTGATGCCCTGAAGTAACTAAAACGTTCAATGACAACTTTAGTACTGCTATTATAAAAGAATGATTCAATAACTTTTAAACTTTCCCAGATATACTATATGAACTTATGAAGAAAATCAGAATGCCAGGTTGTGTCAAAAACCTTTGGTCAAGACCCTTTCTCTTATAAAACTTTCTGTTATAATGGTTAACTAGTTAACAATAGTTAGAAGTTTAAAACTTTTTTTTTTTTTAAACTTGATGACCTTGCTGTCAATAGTAAAAAGATTGAGGATGTGAGTTAGAGCAATCTACATTGTTTTTAAATGTTGGAAGTGTCCTTTTCCAGGTAAAAGAGGTTCAGCAGTTTCCAGGTAAAAGAGGTTCAGCAGTTTCCAGGTAAAAAAGGTTCAACAGTTGTTTTATACTTTAAAGATTTTTAAAGAGAGTTCTAAAGAACACTTTTGTAAGATTGTAGAGATGTAGTAAGACCAGATACGGAATATTTGGCTGAAACTCATTGAGCACCAACCTGGGCAGTGTCCTACATTGACTTTATTATTGTCCATTTTTTACAATATACAGAAATTGCAATGCAGAAATTTTGATTGACTTGATAGGCCATTTCATGCCCTATATATACTCAAATTATGGAAACATTTCATAGCTTCCAGAACTTTCTAGAAATTTTTAGAAAAATTGTTTATTACTTTTTAGCCAACCCAATATTACTGGAACAAACTACTTTAACATTGAACATAAGGTGCATTTCACAAAAACTTTGTAAAAATTTTAAAAATCTTCTTTTGACTATGGATTATTAAAACATATAGGTCCTAAAAATGACATAAATATAAGTTTAAACTTTAGTTATTAGACAAGGGTTAGGGTTAGGGTTAGACCATGACACCTTCACAAATCACCATGACACCTCCGCAAATCATCATGACCACCAAAGTCAAGAAAGTGAAAGAAGTATAAGTACTCGGATTTGACTTTAGAAGTTTTTGATTTGAAAAAAAAAAAAAATTTTTAATGTAACTTTGAACTGTTCAAAGCAAAACTAGGTCATTTTTTTCGATTAAAGAAAAATTACTTCCAAGTTTTATATTTAAGGTTGCGTTTCCTCAGTAATATAACTACAAATAAATGTTAATGCATAACGCATCCAAATAATAATGAATTGCATTACCAGAGAATTTTTATTTGTTCATAATTTATAAATTATACTTGCAAATATAAAATTTATTTGTAAAAAGTTAATGTATCTTACCTTAAGTTTTTTAAAAAATTGATTATTAATCAAGTTGCACAAGTAATACATAAATAAAATTTTGTTTTATATCATATAGTAAGATGCAAAAAAAACAGCAGCAAAACGAAGGAAATCCAAGAGCAAAATAAATCTCATAACACAGTTTATTCAAAAACTTACAGAAAGTTCTTACAGTTACAGTAGGTTACAGTTAAAGTTACAGGTTCTTTTCTCCTTAAACTTATACTTAAACTTCACTCAATAATAATAATAAAAAGAAAAACAAGAAATAAGAAAAATAACAAAAGGCAAAACAAGTATATAGTTAAAAAAAGAAATAAAAAAACTGCTGCACAACCAAAAGACAACTTTTTATTCTGTCCTTAAGTCAAAGGTTAGTTAATGAAAAGGGTATGAAATAATTTAATAGAATCTCCAGAACAAGATTTGTAAGATTTTCATTTTGATAAATTTAACAACTGATAATTAGATGTTCTTCAGGATAGATCAAAGCAACTGTAAAGGTTTACTTATTATGATATATGGAACAAAATTTTTATCCAAATTATAATATAAATTGAGCATCACCAAATAGATTAGACTTTGTTAAAGCTTGGGAGGATGGAGTTAAGAAAAAGCTTTCTATTCACGAAAGTATGCGTTTCAAGTTAGTTGTTTTATAAGAGTCATATCCCGTATTTGATTATTTGTTGCAGACATGCCTTTAAGATTTGTAAGATTTTCATTTGTGTTAGTATTTTATTGAGTGCTTCATGAATCTTTGCAAATATTGTATGGATGCACTAAATATTTAACCTTTAGAGCATGAAATTAAGAATTTAAGTAATCAAGTAGCTTGGCAAAAATGGGTAAAAACTGAATCAAAAAAGACTCGTCCTAAGGTGTATTGCAATATTGAAAAAGTCTCTAAGATGATCCAATAAGTGAATTATTATTTGAAATATAAAAACTAGCTCCTAATTATTTGGATCATTATATATGAAAGTTAATCAAGTTAGAGTATATTATCAAATTATTGATAAATGTATAAATCCAAATTGCAGTGAAGCTGTTGTAGGTGTTGAATTTGCAGAGAACTTTAAATGTATTACTAAAAATAAACCACAAAGCCTTCATTAAGGCCAAACTCTGATTTCAATTGTCATTTCAGCTGTATATCATTAATGTCAATTGCAGTCACAATTGCATCAGCATTCAAAAGAAACCATGATTCCTTTTATGGATGTCATTATAGAAAAACTGCCAGAAACCATTCAAAAATTTAAATTTTGGAGTGATGATGACACATCTCAGTTCAAAAATAAGTATGTATTGGAGTTTTTACAAATGTTACAAAAATGAGACAAAAAGAAAAATAATTAGGCTTTTTTGTTGTTGTTGTTTAGTGTTGTTATTTCTGGTTGATGGAACAACGCTTCATGGCTTTTGGTTTCAAAGTCAAATTTAACAAAACCAAGCAATTTATAGATAACAAAACCAAGCAATTTATAGATAACAAAACCAAGCAAGTTTATAGATAAATTTTAAGCAAGTTAAATTTTAAAATTTAAGTTAAAGCAACCCTTTATTAATTTTTTAGTTAGAATTTTAATTTCAAATAAATAAATTGGCACCAACATGCAATGCCCTATAGTTTACTGAACTAAATACTTGTTTTTAAAAAAAAATTAAAAAAAAAAAAAAATTATTTAAATTTATAACCAATTTTATTAATAATAACTTTTATCAAAGAAAAAAATGAAACTTGACTAAAGTAGTATATTTTTAAATAACTATGGCGCTCTAAGTTTAGAGAACTATGGCGCTCTGATTTAGAGGGTTACGTCAGTAATGTAAGGTCAGTAAGCAATAATATCAAAAAATAAAATCTTCTGAAAAAGGAACTTCTATATAGCTTATATGTACAACAAATCATCTACATAAATTTTTTAACTTAAAGTAGTTTTTAGATGTTATGTCAAATGTTTATAGTCAAAAATAGCAAACCACAGCATTATGCCAGTAATGGGCATATATTGTTCTACTTGAAGATAAATACAAATATGTCTAAATATTTCAAATATATATCAATATTACTTATATATATAAACATACTTTTGCTTTTATTAGAATGATCTAATATAAATGGAAAGTATTTAAATGTAAGTATAAATTATGCAAACGTCACATAAGTATCTATAGAATGCTCAATATTGCTACAACATAGTAAAATAGTTTGAAATAAAATGACGATGTCATAGTCAATGTTATAGTTGATGTCATAGTCAATGTCATAGTCAATGTTACAGTCAATTTCATATTATTGATCTCAAGATCATAGTCATCTCTTTTCTTCCAAATTGACAAATTATAATATTTGTAGATCAAATTTGTTTTTATTTTAATAGGTAGAAACAATCGGAGATGCTTATATGGTAGTTTCTGGACTTCCAGAAACCAATGGAAACCGGCATGCTGGAGAGATTGCTCGCATGTCATTAGACCTTCTTAGTGCAACAACCCTTTTTAAAATACGTCACAAACCTGAAGCAAGACTTCAATTACGTATCGGAATTCACTCAGGTTAGTTTATGATATTGATATAAATTTAGTTTATTTTTTTTAATAAACAAGTTTTCATTTTTGTTTTAATTTTCTGTTTATTTTGATTAATAGTTTTGCAGACATTGTGGGTAGGAAAAAAAACCCTCATTGTTTTAGTTAGGCTTAGTATTTTAAGTTAATACTTTAGTGATTGTGTAACAGTTCATTAGATTCTTACTTTTTAATTTACCTGCGTGTTTGGTTTGTTTGTTCAGGAGAGAAAATGGTTTCATATATAGGCTACTATATTGACTTGCTACTGATGTCAACCTTGTCTATGCAACCTTATGGCAACCATTGTCTTCATTTATCTGTATATTTGCATCTCTAATGTATTTCATAAAAAATTAAAAGATTTTTAAGTTGAATTATATAAGTTGTATGTAAATTTGCTAAAATAGATGAAATACCATTTGTGAAATATTTTGAAAAATTAAAAATCTAGACATCACAGTTCCCATACAAATTTTAAAAGTTCAATAGAGTTGGTCTTACTTTCATAAAAAAAATGATATGCTTTTATTTATCTTTGAAAGTTTTCTCAGTAGGCCAATGTAATGATATCCCTTTTCTTGGTGAGTTTTTTAAATATTTAAGTATTAGGTTTTTTTCTCAAGGGTTTTCTATTGAGTGGGGATAAAGTGGTCTGTCAGCAATTGCCTAATTAGATGGTATATTCATAAGTGTTAGATAGTATATTCTTATTATGAGAAGTGATTCTTATTGCTTGGAAGGAAGTTTATAAAATTTGTGACCTTTAGGAAAGCATTTATTAATTATACCTAAATATATTTTTGCTACATTTATATATATATATATATATATATATATATATATATATATATATATATATATATATATATATATATATATATATATATATATATATATATATATATATATATATATATATATATATATATATATATATATATATATATATATATATATATATATATATATATATATATATATATATATATAGGGGCTATTCTAGGGAAATATTTTGGGTGGTGGTACACCCCCACCCCCGATCCTGAAGAAATTTTGCTGAAATATTGCATTTTTCTGCAAGAAAAAAATTTTTTGCTCTAAAAAACATAAATGAATAATAAAAAAAGGCAATTTTTAATTTAGGCGGCACCCAAATAGTCAACGCTGTCAAAAACTGTCTAGTATAGCCCCTGATATATATATATATATATATATATATATATATATAGAGTGGGCGGCCAAATTATTAGTTACACTTGTAAAAAATATCATATTAACCATTAAAAGCTCTTTAATGTATTCTTATGTTGAATTTTTATAGAAATATTAGTGCTACTATCTTAAATAAGTATTTTTCTTTTGAAAGTAAAACACTATTTTAAACACTATTTCTAAAAATTTATTTAAGAAAAAATAATACAAAATATGATCCACTTTTTGTACCGATTACTGCTTGTATCCTTCTTGGCTTCCTTTGCATGCAATTCTTTACATTTGCTTTTAATTCCTAATCATTATACCAGGAATTATTTAGTGCCTTTACAAGATTTTTTTTTTGTTGGTTACAGTTTCGTGCCCAATTATCTGCTCTAAAAGTTTCCCTAGCATTCTCTATCGGGTTTATTCAAAAGAATTGCAAGGCCATGGTAAAGCAGTAACATTTTTTGACTCTAAATATTTTGTTACTGATTTAGCTTTATGAGATGAAGCAGAATTATGCATAAAGATGCATTTGGATGGATCAGGAAACCAATCATTAACTGAGAAATTAATTTGGTAGCTAATACTTTTTTATATTTATCCTGGTTCACCATCTCTTCAACTATATAAAGAAAGCCACTGCTCTTAACACTTATAACTGACCTTTGAGGGTTTTTCATTTTGTGTTTTTTACGATCTCCATATAACAGTGAGTGTTATATTTTTCTTCTTTCCTCCATCTAACAATAGAAAACTTATCCAATAATATTTCAAAATGGGACTCATCTGAGCAACAGGCCTGAAAACAATTAAAAACAATAATGTAAAATTGCTGGGGTTTGATTATATAACCCGTAATATGTTAATTTCAAATATAAGTATCTTAATCAGTGATGCTGTTGCAATAAACAATTAAGTATTTACTTACATTTTCCCAATCTTCAGCAGACATATATAGGTGTTGTTTAGCCCAAGTGAGAGGTTTTAGTTTCATTGCTGGTATAAGTTTAGGTTTCCTTGCAGGTCTGTAGCATTTAAACCCCAGATCTGCTATTTGACGCATTGTAGTTTTGTTAGAAACTTGATACCAGCTTCTTGTTTGATTTTTGTAACTTCTTTTGGACTTTTTCTTCGGTTTTTAACACAAATGTTATGAATTCCCCACTCATCTTTCGGGGTAGTGATGCGTGGTCCCCGACATTCCCCACTTCTGGCACTTTATGCAGGTATTTTTTTAAATAAGTTTACCATTGATTCTATTTTTTTGTTTTTGTTTTTTATTTTAATTCATCTCCTCAAGGCCGAGAAGGCCACTACAGGCGAAGAGGCTACTTATTTTGTGGCTATAACCCTCTCTCAACTCTATAACTCCGAAACACGAACCTTGACTAACAAGGCGAAACGAGTTGAGCGCGGCACTACCAGGGGCAGGGAACTACTCGTTTATGAAGCGAGCGCTCTACCACTACACCACTACCGCATATAAACTTAATTTCATCGTAGAAACTTTAACTAAAATTGAAATTTTTCTTTGGCATGGGTTTAAATGTTTTATTAAAGCAGATATTTCTGGAAGTTTTTTGTTTGATATATCTTTAGCTTTTTCTATTTTTAGAAACCTAAGTTTAAATATTTTTAGGTAAAATTATAAATTAATGTAAAAAAATGAGTCAGAGTCACAAAAACACCCACTCTATTTTTACCCACTCCTGATTTTTTTGCATTTATTTAATCATATGCATTAGTAAACACAATTTAAGTTGTCAGAAAAATTTGAACTAAGTGCTAAGTGCATATATTTTCAAAATTAAAACTTATAATTTTTTGTTTTTTTTTCTTCCTAAGTTTGATTTAAGTTATTTATGGTAGTTCAAATAAACCATCAACATGTATTTCATTTACAAAAAACAAATATAACAAATAAATATATAACACAAATTATATTAATGCTACTGATTGTTTAAATTAAAATTCACTCTAGCAGATTTTAGTAGGGATGTACCAAAGCTTTGACATCTTTGCCGAAGCTTCAGCTTTGGCTGATGCCATGTCTCTGGCTTCGGCTTTGGCTGATTGACAAATCCCACTAACAAGTGGGATTTGGCAATCCCACTAACAAATGGACATAAACAAAAAGTAAACATTTATTTAGCAAAACAGGAAACATGTTTTAAGCCAAAAAAAACATGCTGTTGCTTAACCATGGAAAACAGATTGCGCTTTTGAGTTATAATTTGCCTGATTTCTAACAATAGATAATTTAAATGCAATAAACTAATAAATATAATGACAATAATATTCCTCATTTGTAATTATTAGTTACTAAATAGTAGTTTTATTATATTTTAAAGTACAAATTAATGTATACTAAACATTGTTTATAATATAATTTTAAAGTTTACACTGCGCGACACAAGACACCCAAAAGATTTATAAAACTATACTATACATTTATATTCAAAAACTAATTTTTATTGTAAATGAAAGCAAAGGATTTACAACACTAAACAACATTTTAACAAATTTATTTTAAACATTACTCGCATTTTATAAAAAAAATTTGTTTTTTCAGTGCGACAAAATTATAAGACAATTTTACACCACAGATGATTATTTAACTGTAAACTTTTATGAACAGTCAAAAGTTTAGTTTGGGGCGTTTTTTATTAAGTATAAAATAACAAATTAAATAATAATGGGTCGTGCTGCACTGTTGAGTCCAGATGAAAAAAAAGTGCTCTCTACCTTATCGAAAATGGGTCTCTTCGTTAGTTACATGGCTAGAGCTATTGGGCGCAGCCGAACTGTAATTAAAAACTACATTAATAGTCCTCATATGTATGGAATAAAAAAAAGTCCCAGACGTCCATCAACATTATGTGACCCTGATAGCTGAAGGTTGTTGAGACAAGTTTCAAATTCTTCATTAACTGCATGTCATATTGCTGCAGAAGCAGATGTGATTGCTAATTTATGTACAACTCAATGAGTTATTCATAATGCTTTTCACTTTTTGCGCAAAAAACTTCAGTGATAACCACCTTTGACAACAAATCACATAAACGATTGAATAACTTTTGCAAAGGATCATGTAACACAGAAAGAAAAGTGGCAATGAGTAGTATTTTCAGACAAAAAAAGATTTCGTCTTGATGGGCCGGATAGATGGAATTATTATTTTCACGATTTGCGTAAACAACCAGTTACACAGCAACGACATCAAATGGGTGGTGGTGGTGTAATGATTTGGTGTGCGATTGGGTATAATGATAAATCAAAAATTCATTTAATTGACGAAAAATGAAGGCTAGGGGTTATCTTTTAATTGCTCAAGAATTATCTGTCATAGGTGGTAGAAATTTTGTTTTTCAGAAAAATAATGCTGGCGCTCATACAGCTAAGATAGTAAAGGAATATTTCAACAACTATAAAATTGAAACATTGAAGTGGCCAACTAGATCTCCAGACCTGAACATTATTGAGAATGCTTGGGCACAGTTGTTACATATAGTGTTTGAAGGTGGTAAATAATATAGTTCACTAGTTGATTTGAAATCATCCATCGCATCTGCATGGGATGCAATTGACATTTCGTACATAAAAAAGTTGTACGATTCTTAAGCTTCTAGAATGATTGAAGTGATTCAAAAAAATGGTAGAAGTACCCACTATTGATTGTTAAAAATTAAGATGTCTTTTTTTATAAATGACAATTTATATGATTTTTTTACAAAAAAATCATATAAATTGTTTTATAATTTTGTGGCACTAAAAAAACAGTTTTTCTTTAATAAAATGCAAAATACGTTTAAAATAAATTTTTTTAAGTGATGTTTAGTTTTGTAATCATTTTGTTCTCATTTACTATAAAAATTAGTTGTTAAATATAAATGTATAGTAGAGTTTCATAAATATTTTTGGGGTGTCAATATGTCGTGCAGAGTTAATTATGTTGACAATAAGCCAAACTAGTTTTATAATTTACACCCTGATTCAATTACTAATTTGTAATTTGTAATTACTAGTTAGCTGGTCATTTTTTCATTCTAACATTAAACTTGTTTTAGCAAGGCATAGCTACATCCTAAAATCCTATAACATTGCGTAGTTTAAAAAAAAGCTTGATGATTTATGGTGGTAGTGAAATACCTTGTGCATTAAATGCAAATAATTTCAGTACATATATTTTGAAATATGCAGTACATATTATAATTGCAGTAAAATGTTAAAAAAAATTTTCAGCAATTTGTGATATCCCTAGTTTGCTAGATCTGCAAGATAGCAAACTTTACCTATATAAGTGCAAAAGCTTTGGCTGAAGCTTCAGCAAAATCAGCTTTGGTACATTCCTAGGTTTTAGCTTTTCTTCATAATTTTTGTGTCCTATATTTCTTTTATAGTTCAGGAAAGCTTTTTTAAATTTGTGGCGAACAGCTTCACCACATTGTTCTGCGTAGTTTCCTAAGCTAGTATCTTTTTTTGTGTTCTATAAAGGGAAAAATATGACACACTAAAATATGTATTTTCCAGGAAGCTTTCAAATCGTAGTCAAAAATATCTTTTGCATATAATTGGAGAGTAAAAAAAAAACAATTGAAGTCTTCAATTTTAAAAGAAGTCTGTACCCATTTTTAAACCAAACACTGCTGATTTCACTAATAAAACCTTACGCAAACAATAAATTACTGGTAAAATATCAATCGTTGCAGTTAAGGTAACATCCCTCTTCTAAAAATCTAACAAGGACATAAATTTATTTTCATGGTTTCTATCTAAACCTACTCCATGGTATCCTCTCATTAATATGTAATGTGTTTTCAACCAATTTTGAAAAGCTGGCCAAACACATAAAAGCATGGTACATAGTTTATCCACAACTCCCATCATAATGTGGAGCTCAGGTGGAGGAGCAATATGTTCAAGAAATGTTTCTTCGTCTTCTTTTAAGTATATTAAACAAGGTTTTATAACATTTTTGTATTCTTGCATTTTTAATCTTTTTTTCCATCAATGGAACTCAATGTTCTTAGTTTCCCTGCTTCAAGGTAGCATTTTCCTTCACAATAAAGACAAGTATATTTGTCAGAATGGCTTGAAAGTCCAAAAACACTGTTTGCACATTTCAAATCAAGCGCTAAACTAAAATTTACTTCTTTGAGTTTTAATGGTGCCAATAGTTTTTGGAGATTATCCTGAAATTATATGATTATCCATTATATGAAGGTTCTGGTGTGAAATGTTGTTATATCCTTGCCATTGTGGAGATGGAACCCTCTCCACAGTGGCTAGAATATAACAACATTTCACACCAGAATCTTCATACATTATGGATGAAGAATAATTATTTTTTGGATCAAAAACAATAATGATAACTTTAAGGAAGTTTTGACCACCATTTATAGATATTCTTTCTATTGCATTAAGGGTATCAATACCTCTTTCATCAATTATAAGTTTGATAAATTCGGTTGTGTTCTTGTATATATAGAGATATAATTTATGTCAAATTCTTGACATAAATTATATCTCTAATAACTATTTTATCACTGTCAAGTTTTCAGTTTTACATTCAAAGTATCTAGAGTATCCTGTAATTCAATCATTTTAATATTAATGTTTGATTCTACACCAATTTGATTATTGTGTAAAGTAGAACACAATCTATGTGTCATGGAAGTAGAAAATTGTGGAGTGGAGATTGTTGGCAACCATCACTTTTAGATTAGGCAACCATTGCATTTTGCTTAGTTTCAATTATTGACTGTTGCAAGGTTTAAGTTAACAATGGCAATTACAACTTAGTGAAAAAGCAAGAATTCACGCTTTAAATACTTATATTCTGTATACTTATATTACTTATATTACTTATAGGTCCTGTTTTAATACTTATATTACTTATAGGTCCTGTTGTGGCAGGTGTTGTTGGTTTAAAAATGCCAAGATACTGTTTGTTTGGTGATACAGTGAACTATGCTTCACGTATGGAATCTAGTGGATTAGGTTAGTAAGTTTACAATTATTTATAATTTTTTTCTCGATAAAATATTTAAAGATTTTTTTTTTTAAATAATTAGCGTTACGCGTCCATGTAAGTCCAGAATGTTTGCGTATTTTAAACGAGTTAGGGGGTTTTGATCTTATTGAAAGAGGACCAGTTGAAATGAAGGTTAGATGAGATTTGTTTGTTGAATCCAGTTGTTTGTTTTTTTTGTTATTTTTAAAGATTTTTTTTAGTTATTTTTTAAGATTTTTTTTAGCTATTTTTAAAGATTTTGTTATTGTTTTTGTTCAGTTAATTAGTAAATATTCTTTTTAGGGTAAGGGTACTATTGTTACTTATTTTCTTGCCGGATACGAAGGGTTCAATAAAGTTCTACCTGATCTACGATTTGCGGCTAGCTTAGAGGAGCACAATTTCAAATAAGTATTTGACAGACAATAACAAATTATGTTGCGTAACTTGTTGTTGCGAAAAGAGAAAAATCTTTCTCGATAAATTGAAGAAATGCTTCCCAAAATTGCTGCAAATACTTTTTGTAAATTTACCTTAGGCGATATAAACAATTAATATGAAAAAATACAACGTTGGATATATGTTAATATGTATATATTTATTTTTTATAGATTAAATAAATTGAATTTTTCTCAACACCTGTTATAGTATTGTTAATAACATAATATATCTATAACTTTAAGTTTTAAAAAATAAGTCATGTCTCGTTATTAAATTAAGCATAAGAGATTCAATTTTAAAATTTGAATTTACCTTAGGCGGTATAAACAATTCACATGAAAAAATAAAATGTTAGATATATGATAATATGTATATATGTTAATATATTTACTTTTTATAGATTAAATAAATTAAATTTTTCTCAACACCTGTTATAATATTGTTAATAACATAATACATCAATAGCTTTAAGTTTTTAAAAATAAGTCTTATTATTAAATTAACCTTAAGAGATTCGATTTTAAAATTCGAATTTAAACGCTCAAAAAGTCACGTATCATTATTGAATTAACCATTAGAGATTTGATTTCAAAATTCGAATTTAATTCTCAAATTTCATTAAACTTTATTTTTTATTTTCTGTTTTATTTGAACTCAAGAATACAAATAAATACTAAGGAAAGTGTGGAGACGCAGGCCAAATAAACCAAATATTTATGCCATTTTATAAAATTTATGCTGTTTTATAAAATTTTAATGCTTCATAAATAAGTTTCGAAGAGTTTTTATGTAATTCCAAACTTCTGATGTTGATAAAAAGTTAAATTCATTCTAGATTTGATTTTTCCTTAGTAATTTAAGATGGATAACGAAGGAAAAATTTTCGGACGGTAAAACTTTGAAAAATGATTTAATTTATTTTTGGCAATGTAAATGATGTTAATTAAAGCAATCTTTCATAAAAAAGCAAAAAACTATTACGCATATTATAATATAAACTATAAGCAATTTTTAACTTCACTTGCCACACGATTTTTCAACTTATAGTAATGTTTCATCTGTAAAACTTGGCAGTTGAGTGCTAACATAAAATATAGGGAATAAATTAAATCTACGAAAAACAAATGAAGAGAGTTTTTCTTGAAGGTTGCTAATTCCATTTTTTAAAAACTGAGTTTTCTCGACATTCGGATTCATTACAGAAAAAGGTATAAATCTAAGTATGTTAATGCGAATAAATAATTGTTCATCATCTTTATTTATAATTACAATGTAGGGGAAGGCTGCGTAAGTTGAGCATGTTTTCAGTGTAATGTATTTTGCTCCCAAAAGATTAGAAAAAGATATATACTTTTTTAAGAATAATGATAATTTAATCTTTCTTCTCAAAGAATATCAATGAATTGAGGGAAAATAAATAAGCCTTTATACCAAAAACTGCGTTATTTTCAACACACCGAATCATTTCATCTTAGGAAACGAGCTTCCAATGATGAGCTTTTTTAAATGGAACTCAAAATAACGAAAAAATAATCACACTAAAAAATTAAATAAAACTGTATCTTCAAGGACTATACTTAATTAAAAAGTAATTATCTCAACCATAAAAAAAACAACAGTAAATCTTTCCTATCTCTAAAAAAGTTAACGATACTATTTTTTGAAAAAGCTTTCGCTCTTGAAATACCAAAATAAAGCTCTGCGGAGAATAACTGTAGAAAAACGCGCATTTCCTAATAAAAAGCCGCATTCATCTTGAGGTGAGCGTCTAAAAACGTATCATCATCGTAACATCATCGTAACATTATCATCATCGTAACATCATCATCACATCGTAAGATCATCATCACATCGTAACATTATCGTAACATCATTATCATCGTAATAACAACTTCACCGAGTACTATCATAATTTAATTAGCATGACAACAGCTTATGTATTATCTCATGTAACCCATGGAATTAGCAGCAGATAAGCGTAAATATTAAGGATGTAATAAATTTTTGATGATCTTATTTCGTTCTGACGTAATTATAAAATATTGAATAACAAAAAATTATAACGGGGGTGTTAAATTTTTTTAACAAAAAAAAAATCAAAGAATATTAACTATACAACCAAGAAATTAAAATAAATAACACCGTCAAACTTGTATAAATATTCTTAACTAAAAAAGTTCGTGAAAAAATCATTAGTTTACCCGTAAAAGAGGTTATACCATTTTAGGAACCTGCTCATCTTACGCAACCTTCCCCTATATTCAAACAAATGCATCGTTGGGAAATTTTTTTTTTCTTTTTTTTCAGCCAAATTAAAATGTGACTTATAGAGAAATGCTCTTCAAATAATACAGTTAAATTTAATAATGATTTTTTATATGATAAAAGAGAGATTGCGGAAGAATTTAATAGATACTTTGTGTCTGTAGGACCAAATCTTGCTAAACTAATTCCTAAATTTAACAATAAAAGACCTTAGTTTCCCAAAAAACTCTCTTACCTCGACTTTTTCGAATTATCTTTTGAGGAGTTTAAAAACGCCTTTAAAATGTTAAAGTGTAACAAAGCAGTAGGTCCGGACGGTTGTTAATGGCAACATTATAATAAGTTTGTTTGATGTTATAAAAGATAGACTTTTTAAGGTTTTTTCAATTTCAATTAAACAGGGAATTTTTCTACAAGCTTTAAAATTAGCAAAAGTAATACCAATATTAAAAGGTGGTGACATTGAAAACATTAGTAACTATCGTCCGATTTCAATACTTTCAGTATTCTCTAAAATTTAAAAAGAATTTTATACAAGAAAGTCTTACTATTAACAATTTATTATACAGTACTCAATATGGGTTCCGAAAAAACAATTCTACTGAAAATGCAATTCTTCAATTTACAAGAAATATTTGTGATGCATTTGACCCAATGTAAAAATACCCAATGTAAATTTTCAATTTACATTGGGTATTTTTATTGATTTGGCTAAAGCTTTTGATACTATTGATCACGAAATTCTTTTTAAAAAATTAAATTGGTACGGAATAACTGGGAATATTTTAATTTGGCTAAAAAACTATACAAAGCCTAAAAATTCATGCCAAGCCTATTTTATATGGAATAAAAGCTCTCAATATATACGAGCTAAATGTTTTTAATATTCTTTGTTTTAAGTATAAATGTTAAAACAACTTATCCTCCGTTTCTTTCCGCGACTTGTATTTGCAAAGAGATATAAATAAATATATTTTAAGGAATGAAAATTTAATTAGACAACCAATTTCTCAAACTAATTTCAGAAGTTTTTTTATTTCATTTCGAGGACCATTTTTATGGAATAATATAATTTTAAATACTACAGAAGACATTTCTGAAGAACCTTTAAATACTACAAAAGACATTTCTGAAGAACCTTTAAATACTACAAAAGACATTTCTGAAGAACCTGAAGAAAAATAAGTTTAATTCTTTAAAAAAAAATCTTAAAAATCTCATTTCTTCCACTGAAAAAATATACTGATATACTTTTAAAACTTAGACGAATCTCAATTTTTGTTTGTGTGTGTAAATTTTTATTTTTTTACGGGAAGCTTGTTTATGTAAATATGAATTTACATAAACATGATGCAATATGAATTTTACTGTTTTTTGAACATATTTATAAGTTGACTTGCATGTATTGTAATATAACGTATTTATTATTGCACTGTAACGCAATGTAATTTTTTTTTTTTTTAGCGGTTCTCGGTGACAAGACCTAATGGTCTTCTTCGAGTGTCCGCGTTCTTTATTTTGTTTGTTAAAGTTGTGAAAGTTTTACTCTTATAAACAAATTTTTTACCTGTAATTTTATTTCTTTTATATATTTGAATAAATATTGTAATAAAGAACATAAAGAAAAAAAAAAAAAGAGAATAAATTATGATTTTTTCTTTGAAACCCAAATTTTTTCAAAAGGAAGGGTAAGTTTCGGGAGGTAGGGTAGGGTTTGGCTAATTTAGGCCTTTTTTTTAGTTACATTTGATATTGAGCAAAAGTATGTATAACGTAAAACAATTTATTTTTTGAAGAAAAAACTTACAATCATGAAAGAAGAAGAAAATAATCTACTAAAAAATGGCTTTTAATCTTGTCGAAAATAATTTTCTAGGGAGGGTACAAAATTTTATGTCTTTTGTTTAACCAATTACTCTTAACTAATTTTTTAGTAAAAAGATTGTTCATAAATTACGCCACACAATTTTTTGACCATTTTTGAACCCTTTCTCCACCCCACCCCACCCCCTCGTCACAATATCTTAATTTGTCACAACATTTTAACTAAGAACAGCCGTGGTGCAGTGGTAGCGCACTTGTCTCAGAAACAAAGGAACCGTGGTTCAAACCCCACCTCTGGCAAGTTTTGCGACATCGGCTTGGAAGGAGGCGTGAACCTCTGAATAAAGGCTCATCCGCGGTGCTCTGTGATAAGATCTTAAGAACTTCTTGGGGCAAATAAATTAAAAAAAAAAAAAAAACTCTTTAGAAACAAGTCCGGAACGAGTCATCACAAAACCACTAATCCCTTCTCCCTCATCAAGCGTTACTTAATTTATGGACGATCCCAAAGTAAAAATAAATCAGTTTTTACTATTTTTTTATGGTTGGCCTTCTACTTTTATTTTTAACATTTTAAAGATATAAAAATCTTAAAAAATAAAAATTTTTGCTGCTCAGTTCAATTAACTTAAAATATTACGCTCTATTTTTTGTTAATTGAACTCAGTTCAATTAACAAAAAATAGAGCGTAAATAAACCGTGACCGAAAAAGCAACGTTTTTAACGTTATATTTTACTTATATTTAGATTTTTTGTGAGATAAGTGGGAATAAACTAAAATCTAATAATGATAAAAAAAAAGATCCTTTTTGGCTGACATTTGCCGACTACCAACTATTCCACTTAAGGGTCCAATTTGCCGACAGCTATCCGGACAGCTAGTATATAATATAAATAGATATACATAAAGTTTAAGTATATATATATATTTATATATATATATATATATATATATATATATATATTTTTTTTTTTTACTTTTATTTTTTTTTTTTAATTTTTATTTTTCGTCATTTGACACATTTTACAATGTTAACCTTACATTCAAATAAATTTATACAAATGCAAGCTGACTGGGGCAAGTAGAAGACAAAATGTCTTATCATCAAGCCCCTTCGTGAAAATAAAAAAAAATAAAAAAAACTTTACAATTTCCAATAATATATAAAAGAGTGAAATTAAAAAAAGTTTAAAAAAAAACAAATTAAAAAGTTTGAAAAAATCAAAAAGTTGAAAAAACAATTTTTAAGTTTGACAAAACTAAAAAGTTTGAAAATAATAAAAAAGAAAAAATTTTGAAAAAATAGTTTACAAATCCGTACATTTGCGTATACATATCCAAAAAACTTCATAATATATATTTAAATATACAAAAGATATTTTTTTTTAAACAAAATTAAAACAGACAAACAAAAAGAAACAAGAAGAATATATATAAGAAGGATATATGTATATATATACACATACACACATACATATACACATACACATATACACATACACACATATACATACACATACACACATATACATATACGTACATACACATACACACATATACATACATACATACACACACACATACATACATGTATATATATATATATATATATATATATATATATATATATATATATATATATATATATATATATATATATATACATATACATATACACATATATACATATACATACACACATATACATATATACATATACACATATACATACACACACATACACACACATACATATATACATACACACATACATATACATATACACATATACACATATACACACATACATATATACACATACACACATACACACATATATACATGTATATATACATATATATATATATATACATATACACACATACACATACACTCACACACATATATATATATATACATACACACGCAAAGTACATATATATATTTTTTTTAATTAAAAAAATGAAAGAATGTACGTATTGTTTAAATTTAGTAAGTGTTTTTTTATAGCTCTTTTAAATATATCAATAGATTTTATTTTTTTCATATTTTCGTCAAGAACCGAGTTCCACAAGCGTGGTCCCCGACATGTAATTGAGAAGTCAGACTTTTTGAGTAATGTTAGTGGGATGCAGTAATTATTAATTGAGTGTCTTGTTTTATATTTATGATTAATAAGAGAGAAGTTTTTATAAAAATATTTTGGAATTAATTCGTTTTGAAGTTTAAACATAAATAACAAGTTATGGTAGATGTTTAATTTGTATACATTTAGGGCATTTATTTCCTTGAGTAACGGCTCGGCACTTTCGTATCTATCCATGCCCAAAACTAATCGACTTGCTTGCTTTTGTTTTGTGTAAATAGTTTTTAGGAAAGATGAGTGATTGTTTCCCCAGGCAATATTACAATAGTTAATATGACTATGTATAAACGAAAAATATAAATTTTTTAAACATATTTTGTTCAAAAGAGGTTTAGTCTTATACATTATCCCTAAAGTCTTTGAGACTTTGTTCTCGACTAGCTTTATTTGGCTTTTCCAATTTAAATGTTCGTCAAAAATTGTTCCAAGTATCTTCATTGAAAACACTCTTTTTATTTTAATATTGTTAATAGTTAGTTCTGGTAGTGTAAGTGGAAGATTCTCGGATTTAGATGGTTTAGCAAACAAAATATATTTTGTTTTTTCAATATTCAACGAAAGTTTATTTGCTATAAACCACTCATTGAGATATGTTAGTTCAGTGTTTACATAACAAAAAATATTTTTTAAATTTGAATCAGAATAGAAAACATTAGTATCGTCAGCAAAAATAATATAATTAAGTATTTTTGATGACAAATAAATATCATTAATATAAATTAAAAACAGTAAAGGTCCAAGTATTGATCCTTGTGGAACTCCACAACTTATTGACTCAAATGAGGAGCATGTTAAATCAATGGTACTACTTGTTTACGATTTTCTAAATAACATTGCAGCCACTTTAAGTTAGAGTGAGCTACTCCGTAATTACATAGTTTGTTGATAAGTATCTTGTGGTTGACAGTATCAAAGGCTTTGGATAGATCTAGAAATATTCCGAGAGTGTAACTATTGTTTTCAAAACCATTTAGAATTTGGTTCGCAAGATCAATTACTGCATGCTCCGTGGAATGATTTTTGCGAAAACCAAACTGTTTATGATAAAGAATGTTATTAGTTTCAAGATAATTGTACAGTCTGTTGTGCATAATACGCTCTAGTATTTTAGAAAAACAGGAAAGTATGGAAATTGGTCTATAGTTAGATTTTATCGAATCATCGCCGCTTTTGTATACTGGAACTATTTTTGCTAGTTTTAGTTGGTTAGGAAAAATGCCGTTTCTTAGGGAAAGATTAAAAATTATAAAAAGAGGTTTCTCAATAATATCAGAGACCGCTTTTACAACATCAGAGTTAATTTCATCTAGACCCACACTCTTATTTGTTTTCAACATACTTATATATATATATATATATATATATATATATATATATATATATATATATATATATATATATATATATATATATACAACATATATATATATATATATATATATATATATATATATATATATATATATATATATATACATATATATATATATATATATATATATATATATATATATATATATATATATATATATAAATATATATATATATATATATATATATATATATATATATATATTCGGAAAAATTTCCGGAAATTTTAGAAATTTTCAAAAAAAGATAAGTTATTTTAATTATAATTAATGGGTCAAACTTTATGTCTTATTTAGGCAGTTGTTATGGGCAATTTTATGGTAAAATATTGTAAAGTAGATTATAAAAATTTCAGAAAACACCCATAGAAAAACATTTTTTTTTGTATTTTGTTGAGTTTTTATTATAGTAGTATTTTGTATTTTTTTTATATTATTTTTATTATAGTAGTATTATTTATAGTATTTTGTTGAGTTTTTATTTAAGTAGCAACTATGATAAACTGTTTTATCCTGATATTTGCTAAGCATATTTACGTTCATTGCTGTAGCAAGCTTAGTTTAAGGCTTAACATAATTTGCAATCCTATTTTTCAATATCTTTTAAATTGGCCTGCAAGTTACTGAAATCTGTAAAATTATTTATAAAAAGATTTGATTGAGCATTTACAGTATTTTACATTTTTTTTCTTGATTTAAAGATGTTATTGATTAATGAAAAGCAAAAAGTTAAGAAATAATTTTGCTCAACTTGAACCATTCAAAAATATATTTAGCAATAAAAATAAAGAACTAATGATTTCGAGGTCATAAATTCCACCGCTATGTTTAAATAAGTGCTTTTAAGACTTGAGTCTCACTCGCATCAACTTAAATTTTGTAAAAATTAAAAAAAATTTTTTTCTTAATTACTTGCATCTTAAAAACTTTTTACCACCTTTCTTCGAACTGCTTAGCCTTAAAATAAGTTTTTACATTGAACAAAAGTCAATTGAAAAAGTTTCAAGCGTGACGTTCAAAAGACTCAACGAAAAGATCTGAGACCTAGTATTAATCAAAATTATATATCAACAACTCTGTAGGTGTAAGAAAAAAAAGATGGCTCTTTTAATAATAATTTTATAATAGATTTGTTTTAATATTCTTTGTGATATCTAAATGAAAATCCGATAAGATATAGTTTTCATGCATTATTATATTTATGTATCAGTTGTATTATTTTTTAATAATGCATTGCAACATACATCCAATGTTTTTTTTTTTTTAAATAATTTATAATAAATCCTCCCCAATTTTTCATTTTATATAACAAATAAAACTTTATCTATAATTAATCTCAAATGTAATTAAAAAGTTATTGAATTATATCGAACCAAAACTAAAGCCTAAAAAAAATGTATTTTTTACAATTAAATTTGAAAATTACTTTCAAATTTTACAAAAGCCGGAAATCTTCTTGCTTTTTGATTATAATTAACGGACATCTGCTGGAATTGTTTTTATTTTGTTGTTGTTGTTATTATTATTTTTTTTTTTGTAAAAAAGTAGTATAAATACATAGGACATAAATTCAAAAAATACATTGAGCACAAAAGTATTTAAAAATACTTTTAAAATAAATTTAGGAACATAAAAAACTAAAAAGGTCTTTAAAAGCTAAAAGTAAGATATTTTTTTTTCGTACTTTCATATAAATAAACTTTTATTTTCTTCCTTTTATTTATTTATTTTTCACTCAAAAGTTTTTCTTTTTACTCACAATTGTTTTAAAGTTTTATACATGAAAAATAAAAATAAAAAATCTTATTATAGAAAATGAAGACGCTTACAATATTGGTTGTAAGCTTTATTTTGACTATTGAAGCTGCTAGAGATTGTCCACCAACAAGTAACTTAGGTAAAAAAAACTTTCTTTTTTTATTCAAAATTACTTATATTATAAACCTATTAATAATAAAAATATATTTAAAACCAGTAATGAAATCCATTTCCAATTTTAGAAATGAGGTTACAAGACGGTCAAATATATAGGAACGATGATGGTTGTCGAAGATGTGAAAATGGTATTATACGTTATATATCATGTAGATACAGCAGAGGTATTTTGGAAAGCAGACGAAACAAATTTTTGAAAAGACGAACAATGGACGATTATTACGCAGACGACGATGAATATGCTTACGAAAAATAATGAAAATGATTATTTGCAATTCAGGATTTTTTTTTTTTTAATTTGTTATTGTCAATAACTTGTATTAAATTTTTTATGTACGTCATCTTGAATAAATTTCATTTTATTGAATAACTTTTCGAGTAGAATCATATCAATACTCCAGTACACCAACAGTAATGGAGACCGGGGCTAGTTGTAACAAGGCTAGTTGTAACTTATTTCCAAAAAGGTTTCAACCACTTCTGTAGCTTATTTAGTTCTAAAAATATACGTGTTTTAATATTTTCAATTCATAGACTTTTTATGAAATATTTTTTTAAAGTATCTCGTTAAATTTTTGCCACCAAAAAAAAACTTAAAATTTTTTTTTTTTTTTTGCGTAAAAACTTACCTTAACAAACTTTTAATAAAACTTGCTTTAACAAACTTTTAATAAAATTTTATTAGAAATAAAATTTTAATTTAAAATTATTTGAACAATTTATAAATATAATTTTTTTTTAAAGTAGAATATATTTTAAACTTTTTTAAGATTTTTTAATTTATAATACGTTAAGCGTAAATAAACTTTGAGGAGAAATATTCTATGAAATAGTTTATGATAATCATAAACTGAATATGAAAACCTTAATGCTGGTTAAAAAAAAAGTAAAACTTAAAGTCTTAGAGGATGTAATTCCTGAAGCTACTCTTCATATTTTGGTACACGATGTTCAATGTTCGAATGTAAAAGAACAGCGAACAATTTTTAAAAAGACACTTGAAAAAAAAATTCCTAAATAATACTTTTTTAATCTCTTTTTCTTAGTTTGTGTTTTTACCTTGTAAATATATTTCACAGAGGGTGATTAATAAAATATTAATAATAATAATATAATAATAATTAATTTAAATTAACTTTTATTTGAACTTTCTTTAATAAATTATCAAGTGAAAAACGTGTACCAAAATAACAACAACAACAACAAGATATTTTCCTTTTTTAAAATTTACATATAATCATATAATAACAATAATAATAAAAATATTATCTATCATAATATAAACAATACAATTATAATAAAATAAAACTAATAAGAGTAAATATAAATAATTATTTGAAAAGGAAGGTGTCACTCAAACAGAAGCCTGATTAAAGGAGTGACACCAAATAATTATGACAATAATAATTAAAAAATAATAATATTATCTATAATGATACAAACAATATAGTTATAATAAAATATAACTAATAAGAATAAGAAGGTGTCACTCAAACAGAAGCCTGATCAAAGGAGTGACACATGTAATTATTATTGTTATAAATAATTATAACAATAATAATTAAAAATAGTAATATCTATAATAATACAATAATATGATGACATGAGTGTCACTCATGATCAAAATGAGTGACACCAATTAATTATAACAAGTAGTATAATAATAAAAAATAACAAAAATGAACCAAAAATCGCTAAGAAAATAAATAAAATAATAATAACAACGATAAAGCTAAAATAAGTTAAATAATAAATAAATCTAAAATAAGTTAAATAATAAATAAATCTAAAATAAGTTAAATAAAACAGGCCGAAAACGTCGAAATACATACAAAATAAGGATTAAACTAAAATTTATCTTCACACAAACAAACAAAAAAAAGTTTTATTTTTATAACCCTATAATTCTAAATTAAAATTAAAATTTTAATTTAGAATTATAGGGTTTTGAACTTTTTTGAAAATAATGAATGAAAAACTCATTGAATTGTTATATTTGATAGGGTTTTGTTTCATGTAACTGTGTATCTAAATTAACAGATTCAGTCAACAGAATACTTATCTGTATTATCTGCTATTTCAAGTTGCAAAAAGATGTCTTGAATTGTTTTTTCTTCGAAAAAAAAATTGTACTATTAACGCACCCAAACTTGTCTATGTGATGCAAATTATTTGAACTCAAACTCATCTAAACTTTAAAAATTCATGTAAAACTTCGCGGACATCATATCGGTAAAATTATTGAAAAAAAAAGTTTTTATTACCGAACTGCAATTCAAACTTCAGAGTAGGCTACCCTAAAATTTTTATTATAATTTTAAAAATTTTGACCGCCCTGTTCTAACAGTACACACACACACACACACACACACACACACACACACACACACACACACACACACACACACACACACACACACACACACACACACACACAAATATATATATATATATATATATATATATATATATATATATATATATATATATATATATATGTATATATTTATATATATATATATATATATATATATATATATATATATATATATATATATATATATATATATATATATATATATATATATATATATATATATAATATATTGTCATCAAATAATTTTATACTTTAAAAAACTTTAAAAAGACAAATTTTTAAAATTTTAAAATTTGCCTTGGCTATTCAGTTCATAAATTAGACAAAATTGTCTAACTTACTTAACGAAGTGTACCAACGAGAAGGTAAGCCATAGGACTTTGCACTTCATCAGTGAGCTGTCATGTTGCCTAGGTTAATCTTCCATTTGGTTTTTTTACTTTATTTGATAGGCAGTTCATGGAAAAGTAATAGTAATTTTGCATAAAGCTTTTTTTTGTTATTTTAATTTTAATATTTATAATAATGTGCAGTTAAGCATAGAGATAAAAATACTAATATATAATATAAAAATATCTTTAAATTAAACAAAATTGGTACATATAAACATATCAGATATGATTCATACCATTTATAAAGATAAAAACAACTTTACTCAAATGCAGTAAAAACAAATTATTGGAACATAATAATAAAAGAAGTAAGATGAATACATACTACAACTTAATTCTAAATTTTTATTAAATAAAATTACCTCACATTCCTAGCTACAAAGATTAAGATCTCCTTTTTCAAAATTAATCAAGAAAGAAAATGAACATACTTCATCAGAGTTGTTAAGCCTTGCCTTAAGGCCGAAAATAAAGGCTTTGGCCTTGGTCTTGGCCTTAAAAACTTTGGCCTTGGCCAAGATTGTTTTGGCCTTGCTCTTCAAAAAAATACATAAAATTAAAGAACTAAAAGTTTTCATTATTTATTTTTATGTATTTTTGTTTTCAGCTTTCATATATATCTACAAGTATATTTTCTTATTGACTTTGTTAAATTCTGTGCATAACCTTGGTCCATTGGTCCTTTTGGCCTTGCTACTTTTGGCCTTGTTAACAACTCTGCATTAATTATCGTACTTAACTAGGTATGTGGTTCGTTTAGCATTTAATTGATCAATTTGTACTACTTGCGCACTTTCCAAAGATACTTCAAGAGAATCTTCTTTTCTAACATGTAGTATAGAAAAACCTACAAAATCAGATAAATTGTTAATAAATTATAATAAGGAATTTTTTTTTGTTGCTCTATTAATTTGTTTAGCCTTGCACCCTGAATTTTTTTTTTTTTGCTCTCAATAGCTGCATCACGTATTATAGGAAGTTGTTTGTTTGGTGTTAAATTTGCTTGAATGACATTAAGGAGATTTTGATATAATTCCTCCGCAGATAATTTTATTCTTTTATTTCAATCTACCTTGTTTTACAAAAAAGTTTTTTGTCACATTCGACACTTAAGGTTATGCGATAAAAATTTAGTTGAGAAAGGAGCATTTTTGCCTTTAATGGTTCTTCTTGTATATCTTCAATATTGCATATTTTTAAAATCTATTAGGTGTGTAAAATAATTCATTTTAAAATCTATCATAGATTTCATTTTCCTTTTTCAAATGTTTTTGTTTTTTGTTTTATTTTTACTTATTGGTATTTTTTCTTAAGGAATTTCAGATGCATTCACTGTATTATTTGGAAAACTTGCCACAGGTGGAAAAAGGCTACACTTAACAACTTTTACCAATAATTTTTTTTTGTTGTTTCTTTAATTTTTGATGGTTTCAACTACTCTATTTATCTTTGGCTAAAGCTTTCTTGCAGCAAAACAGTTTAACATTGAAATCCACGCACCATCTAAAATATATTGTATCATAAGATGATCGTCCCCAAACAAATTATAGTAGTTCCTTTTCTAAAAAAGATAACATCTATATATACGTATAAAGTATTAATTTCCATGGGTGGGTTTTTATCTTTGGACACCTACATAAAATCATTTCTTGCGTTTTTTGGACAAAGTTTTTTAAACTCAAACGAACTAATTTTTTAGGCGATAAAATGTCACGTGACAAAATTCCCTATTTTAAGGAACGGTGTTTATATATTATTCCTAATTTTTTTTTACATTTTATAACTATAATTATAACACGTTAGTTATAAAAATTACAGTAATAAATTGAAAATTTTAAAAGTTATTGATAATTTTGTTTTTTCGATATAAAGTTCTAATTTGTTTTCGAAGTTTTTTTGGGTTTCACGGTAAACTTAGAGATTTATTACTATAATAAAATAATGGTAAGTTAAAATTTTTTTTATCAAATGCAAAAAGATTAAAAATTTGATTTACTTTATGTAAATAATTATATACAATGGTTAGAGTGATCATGATGCCTACGGGGTAAATTGCAACAAATTACTCGGGGTAAGTTGAGTTACTTCTAAAGTAATCGACGTTTTTTTAAAGTTGATTTTTATATCTTCTAATAATTCTACAAAATTTAACTGTTTAATTTAAAATGTAATTAATTCTTTTGTTTTTTTAATATTTGTTTGTTCTTTAATGAATGCTTATTGGAAGAAATTTTTTTTTTTTTATTGTTATTGATAACTTAGATTTAAGTTTGATTTTTGTTTATATGAAATTTTATTTAACATTTGTTTTATTTTTGAACATTTTAATTTTTTAAAAATAAACTGTTATTGTGTTTTTATATTCTAAAGAACTTAAATATCCTAAAATCTTCTCTTGCATTTTTCTAAACAAATTTATTATTTATTGACTAGAAAATACTTTTTTTTTTAGAAACACTTTGAAGTTAAAATAGTAAATTAGTTTAAATAACAATTTTTTTTTGTTTAATTTTTTCAGTCTCTGAAATCTTTGAATACAATTATCAGTTTACTAAACAAGTTTGGTGTAAGTGAAGTCTCTCATACTAAAAATATTGCAGC